CTACAGTACTTGCATGAGGTGAATTGAAAAATACTATTTGATCATTTTTACAGTGCAAAAATTAGTAATAAATATATAAAGTGAGAACTGTACACGTTGTATTCTGTGTTGTAATTGAAATTGTAATTGAAATCCATATATTTGAAAAATATGTAATAAATTTCAATTGGTATTGTTTAACAGTGCAATTAATCGTGATTAATTTTTTATTAATCACGATTAATTTTTTGTTAATCACGTGAGTTAACTGTGATTGACAGCCCTACTCCAAACTGAATGCCTTGATTGACTATCTTTCAACAGACTAGAGAGCATTTTCAGGTGATCATTGCCGAGGGCCAACTCCTTGCAAGGACAATCCTCTTTAGACACCGCTGACACAGCTACTCATTCTAACTCCACGGCAGTGGTCATGAGGAGGGCTTCCTGGCTTCAGGTATCCAGCTTTCCAAAGGAAGTCCAATCTACAATTGAGAACCTTCCATCTGAGGGACCAAAGTTGTTCACTGAGAAAACTGATGAATCCGTCCACATGTGAAAAAATTCTAGAGCCACCTTTATGCTCGCTGGGAATTTACACGCCTGCACAAAAAAGAAGATTCAGTAAATCCCTGACAGCTCAGAGATCCCAGCCTACTCAATCCATGCCCCACTTTCCCCCAAGGCATTATGAACCCCAGCGCAAGAGACAGCATTTGCAGAAAAGGAGACCAGCTGCCTCACAGCCCTCTACATGTAAACATCAGTTTTGAGGGGTCGTCCAAAGGCTCGATTTACTACCTCCATCCTTACCTGCTGCAACAATCCGCACGTCTCGCTCACTTTGGCGACCACCTTGGTCCTTTTCATCAAGACTGGGAATACATAACTATGAACAAATGAGTTGGAGATAATTTCTTCAGGATATTCTATCCATTTTACCTTCCTTATCACCTCCCCTCCTGTCTCTCTTCATGGACCCTTCTCACGCACCTTTTATGACAGGAAACAGACTCTCTCCCAAACCTGGGTACTTTAGAATCAGTTCCCACACAACACAGAGGGAGGGGACTTCTCCAAGTACTTTGTGGTACCGAAAAACAACAGCGATTGGAGGCCTATTCTAGAACTAAGATCACTCAACAGATTTGTAAATGTTCAGAATAGTAACTCTCCCAGCAATAATTCCATCTCTGGACCAAGCGGACTGGTTCTCGGCCCTCGACCTACAGGATGTTTGCTTCCATATTGCAACCCACCCATCCCACGGAAGGTTTCTATGATTCACTCTGAATCAGGATCACTTTCAATACAAGGTACTCCCATTCATCCTGTCATCCGCGCCCAGAATGTTCTCAAAGGTCCTTTCTGTGGTAGCGGAACATCTTCACAAACAAGGAATTCTGATATTCCCATACTTGCATGATTGTCTGCTCAAAGCATGCTCCTTCAACAAGGGTTTGGCCACACAAAAGGCCACGGACCTATTCCTCTGACTGGGACTACAATTAAACGTCAAAGTCCACATTAATTCTAGTACAGCATCTGGAGTTCATAGGAGCTTACCTTGAGGCAGTAGCAGCCAAAGCATTCTTCCTCTCACACAGGTTCAATATGTCAGTCAGTTTAGTCTTGACAGTCCAGGTCAGCCTTCAAACCTCAGCCAGAAACTATCTCTAGCTATTGGGTCACGTGGTGGCAGGCATCTTTGTAATAAATCACACGAGACTTCATATGTGCTGCCTTCAGGAGTGGCTCAGAATTGTCTACTTACCAAGCAAACACTGCTTAAACAAACTTCTTTCGATGCCCTCAATAGTCAAAAAATTTCTCGACTGATGGAAAGACCCTCATAATATCTACGCTGGGGTTCCCTTCACTCAACCATCCCCAATGTTGGTATTTACAATGGACACATCCCTATTGGGATGAGAAGCCCACCTGTGCCAAAGCAGTGAAACACTCGAATTAGTGTATGCTTCACCACCATCAACATCTGAGTAGTTTACTTTCCAGGTATACAAAACATCTCAGCAGACGCATCTCCCAAATCACGAATGGGAAATAGACACCACCATTCTCCACTGCATATTTCTGCACTGGGGCATCCCCAAGACAGACTTATTTGCCACAGTCAAAAACAACAACTGCTCCCAGTTCTGCTCCAGGGATGGTCTGGGTCACCACTCTCTGAGATGCCTTCCCCTCCCAATGGAACAGAAATCTCCTCTATGCATCTTCACTGATTCCTGTAATATCCACAATCCTGCTCAAGATAGAGGGGAAAAAAACAGGGTTATACTTGTAGACTCCCATGTGGCCGAGACAAATGTGGTTCCCCTACCTTACTCAGCTCGCGTTTTGCCAACCAATTACTCTCCAGCCTGTTCCTCATTTCCTCTCTTAGGATGTCAGCTAGGTCCATCACCTCAGTCTACAGGTTCTCTGGCCCAAAGCATGGGTGGTCAATGATTCAAGAGCTTAGAAATGACATGCTCTGAGGACGTAAAGGCGGTGCTGTTACATAGCAGGAAACAACTACTCATGACACGCACATCCAAAAGTGGAAGAGATTCAAACTCTGGTGTGACTCAAGACACTTTCCTCCTACATCCTTTCCACTATCATCTGTGCTAGATTACATCCTAGAACTAAAAAGGTCAGGATTATCTCTAAGCGCTGTAAAAGTGCACCTCGCAGCTGTCACAGCCTTCCATCATAAGATAAAAGGGTATTCTGTTTTTTCTCATCCCACAAGAAGGTTTCTCAAAGGTCTGGATAACATCTTCTTAGAAATCTGATGCCACACACCTGAGGACCAAGTTGAGGTCCGATGTCAGTGTCTAAGAAGACCTCCTTTCAAACCATGGCCACCTGCTCCCTTCTACATCTCTCTCTGAAAACTGCATTTCTAGTAGCCACTACTTTTGCTTGAAGAGTGGGAGAGAGAGAGGGGTTCTAATGGCATATCCCCCCCTTTTCCGTCTTATTTAAAGACGTAACACTACAACTGCACCCCAAGTTCCTACCAAAAATATCTTTTGACTTCCACATAAACCAATTTATCCACCTCCTAGTTTTCTTTCTGAAACCACACTGAGACAAACACTCAATGTCAGGAGTGCCTGCACTAGCCTCCTATCTAGATAGGACTAAACCCTTCAGGAAATTTCCCATATTATTTCTCTCCATTGTGGACAGATCTGAGGAATCCTCAATCTGCAAAAAAAGACTCTAGATGGATATCGAGGTGCGTTACCTACTGCTATCAGTCTCATGATCTTCAACCTCCTTCTAGAGTACGAACTCACTCCACGAGATCGCTCTCCACTTCCATAGCCTTCCTCAAAAACGTTCCGGTTGCAGAAATATATAGCCACGACTTGGACATGTGCTCATACATTAGCTGAACATTATGCAGTTTCGCACAACTCAGTGTCCAATGCCATATTTGGCTTCACTGTCTCATCCTCAATTCTAGACTCGACTCTAAAGCCCCAACCCTCCCTTAGGGGTCACCCATAGGGACACTACTTGAAGAAGAAAAGGTTACTCATCCTGTGCAGTAATTGTGGTTCTTCTAGATGTGTCCCTAGGGGTGTTCCACTGCCTGTCTTCCTCCTCTGCTTCAGAGTTCTTTCCAATGAGCTCTGCAGTGGAGAAAGAACTGAGGACATTTTTCCTGCACTATATAGCCCTGGTGCAGGGCACAAGACGAAGCGGGCACATGTGCAGGCTGAATGGACACGGCTACCTAAAATCTCCAATTTGAAGCACGGGGGGCTCAAGCATACCTAGAGTGGGACATCCATAGGAAGACACATCTCGAAGAACCACAGTTACTGCACAGGGTGACTAACCTTCTCTCTTAATCAGAGTTAGCTTTGAGCCAAACTCAGACAAGTTTTTCAGCTTTGGCAGGCTCTCTGACCTAGATGTTAACATGCTTTCTAGCACTGATGAAGCAGCATGGATCTGAAAAGAGGTCTGAACAGAGGCTTCGTTTCAAGAAGAACAGGGACTCGGGCAAGAGGCTCTCTTCTGCCAGAAAAGCAAAACTCTTCTTTTTCTGTGAATGTTACCGTAAAAAAAAAAAAAAAAAAGAGACGCTCTCACTTGTTATCCAGATGGTACTAAACCTATACATACATTTTCTATGTTGTATTTCATGGAGCTAAGTCCAGAGGAGACACTACCTCTTCAAACACTATTTAAACAGAGAAGATTTTGACATAAAACTGGTAAGATCTTGAAAGCATCTCTGCCTGGTTTTAGGATGCATACCTCTAGAGCCAAAGTAACTTCTAAGTCACTTATTTTTTTTATATATATATATATTTCAGTGACACCTAGGGACTCCAATGAGGGCCCTGTTGTGCTAGGTGCTGCACAAACTTATCTAAACAAGGATATTGCAGGCTGCTACTTGATGTTTAATCCCTACATTTAGGCAACATTACCATTGGTTTTGAATCCAGGTCCCATGCCCAATTTTCAAAAGTAATCCCACAGTCTTTTAACTAGTTCTCAGACCCACTTCTTTGAGGGATGACTGATAGTTAATCTTCCAACATTAGGGATCTCTAGTAAAAATGGTTAGAGAACAAAGGTTATCTAGTATGAATAAATTGCCACTATAAAGCCACACTCCTCACCCTGTGTATACCCATTTCTTTGGATTCCATTTCTAATACATTATTTAAGTGGAAAGGAATTGGATGGAGTCATGGCCATGCATCTTCATATTAACTTAAAGTAAATGTTTGCTTCTACTAGCAGAATATGTATATGGCCACCAAGAACACATGCAGTCCCAAGTATATGAATCTGACAATCTACTCTAAGTACAGTTATGCATTTCTCTTCAATGCTGTTTCTGGTGGTTCTCTAGTGGATATGAAAATTCTGCTGTGACAGAATCCACTCCTTGAAAAAAGGTGCTTAGATTCTTGTTGTCTATTAGTCAGATGGGTTCAGTCTTTTTTTTATAATTTTTTTTTGTTTTTGTTTTTAAATCCTAGGATGATCGTTGCATGATTCCATTAGTTATTCTGGCATCTTTCATGCCAGCTTCTGCTATTCCTACATTCAGGTACTATTTCTTTAATGTCAAAATTGAGCGGGGGGGCGGGGTTGTCTCTGTTCAACTTTAATTTTATTTTTTTATTTGGTATACATTAAAATACCCTCAATGAATAACATCAATTCAGGCAAATTTATCCATTCAGGAAACTTGATAACTTAGTAAAATCTGTAGGGGCCAATGGGCCTATAAATTGTTTTGTTAATATTTCAGGTATCATATCAGTTCATTTTATGTCTGAGTCATTGCTGCGCTAATGAATAAAAACAGCTGCTATATCTGAAATTGTTTTCAGCTGTGGTGTGATCTCTAAATTGAGGAATCTTGAGAAGGGAGCTGATGAAAATAAATACTCCACCCTGATAGACTGCTTGTGTCGCTGGGGACAAGTGGGACACATTATGGAGTTAATCTGTGATTGGATGTCTGATGAGATGACACCAAGAAAGGTTTGCAAAGAAAACACTGAATTCTACTGTTATGTTGCATTATATAATCTGATTCTATTAGTCCTTTAATCTGGAGGATAAGTAATTACTATAAAGTTTATTGTAGTATCTTTTATATCTCATTGTTTAATGAGCTTCTCTCCTCCACACTTAGAGCAATACAGCATCTGAGCGGCGAGTACGTATCCAAGTAACATACCAGTCAAAACCAGAATTAGCACTTGATTATCTAGAATATTTATTGACTCATTCCATGAATCGGGATTGCCTGCTATCTGTCCCCAAAAAGAAATTGAACCAGCTTTTGAAAGTACTTGGAGCTGCAAAGGTAATACTTGTAGAATATTGAATGTAAAGTACTATTTAATGTGTCTCAGTACCACTACTGAAATTTAGATTTTACATTTTTCTTCAAAAATCTCAGTAAGATCCACCACTCCTCCCTCCTTTGGATCTTCTGCCATTATACGCATGATGATCTTATGAACTGATGAAATACTTTAATGAAAAGAGTGATGAAAAAAACTATCCATAGTGTTTAATAGTCTCTTCCTTTCTGAAAGTGTACTGTCTGAACTTGACCAAACTGTCTTCTGCATAATTTGATGCTTTAACAACTGTGACTAACAATCTCATTCCAGACGTTGTGTCAAAGCACAAGACAGTAATACCCTTGAAGATGTATAGCTAAGGGTAGCAATAGAAGATAATACTACCAGAAACTCAAAATATAGTTACTTTAAGTAATTAGCCTTCCTTCCAACCTTACAAAAAGAGAGAAACACTGGCCATCAAAATGTAATGATTGTGTGGACTATTTGTGGGCTGGGTTAGCTGTACCAATTTATCTGTATCAAATGTAACTATTGTAATTTAAAACTTGCATACCTCTGAACTTTGTGAATAACTAGCAGTTTAGATCATGAATAGAAATAAATTATAGGACTACAAGACTTAGTCCCAGACATTTTTGAAAATCTTGTTTTTTTGTAGGTGCCTCAAACTTGTCCAATTTGAGACATCTGAAAGGAGCCTGACTTCTAGAAGATAGGTGCAGAGCATTTTTTTTGAAAATCAAGCCCCTTTGAAGTGTAAAGTTGGGCACTCAAAAAATATATTTGAATTTGAATTTCAGTCTTTAAGCAAAAGCAAAGTGCAAAGCAGGACTTCCTGAAAATATATTTTGTTTTTAAATATAAATGGGAAGAGACTGTCTAGGAAGGAGTACGGCAGAAAGGGATCTAGGGGTTATAGTTGACCACAAGCTAAATGAGTCAACAGTGTGATGCTGTTGCAAAAAAAGCAAACGTGATTCTGGGATGCATTAACAGGTGTGTTGTGAGCAAGACACGAGAAGTCATTCTTCTGCTCTACTCTGCGCTGGTTAGGCCTCAACTGGAGTATTGTGTCCAGTTCTGGGCACCGCATTTCAAGAAAGATGTGGAGAAATTGGAGAGGGTCCAGAGAAGAGCAACAAGAATGATTAAAGGTCTTGAGAACGTGACCTATGAAGGAAGGCTGAAAGAATTGGGTTTGTTTAGTTTGGAAAAGAGAAGACTGAGAGGGGACATGATAGCAGTTTTCAGGTATCTAAAAGGGTGTCATAAGGAGGAGGGAGAAAACTTGTTCACCTTAGCCTCTAAGGATAGAACAAGAAGCAATGGGCTTAAACTGCAGCAAGGGAGGTTTAGGTTGGACATTAGGAAAAAGTTCCTAACTGTCAGGGTGGTTAAACACTGGAATAAATTGCCTAGGGAGGTTGTGGAATCTCTATCTCTGGAGATATTTAAGAGTAGGTTAGATAAATGTCTATCAGGGATGGTCTAGACAGTATTTGGTCCTGCCATGAGGGCAGGGGACTGGACTCGATGACCTCTCGAGGTCCCTTCCAGTCCTAGAATCTATGAATCTATAACTGTAAATTATAATATTGCAGGAGATTCTTGGCTCGATTATGAAAGCAACAGGTGCAGGATCTCATAGCTTCAATCAAGCAACTGTCATAAGAGCCTTCACCCTCTACTGCAGATTAAGCATTCATCTTCAGCACAAGGTATTGTTTTTTAAGGAGGTATTCGTGGGAGGGGGAAACAATTATCAAGCTCTGTTTTTATTATTGTTTGTTTTTTCTTGCACAGTTTTCTTCTGAAGGAAAAGTTTACCTTTCACATCTGAAGGAGACGGGTGCTTGGATAGAAAGTCATGTTCTACCTTTTATTCTAATGCATGAACAGGAGGAGAATGTTCTAGAGCAGCACATTGAAGTTTCTCAGCTAATCATCCAGGTTAGAGGTTTCTTTATAATTACTTCAAATGGAATTGACAGTAGTATCCATTTTTTACAATTGTTTTTAAATGCGTTATTGATATGATTTGTATGGTTTAGGTACAGTAATTGCATCCCACTAGTCAGTGCCATAGCAGTATTTCAAGTTTGGCACCTACGTCAATTTCCAAACAGTGTGTACATCAACCATACACTTGAGAAGGAGAAATCAAATGCATAACTACAAAATGGGAAATAACTGGGTAGGCAGTAATCCTGCTGCAAATGATCGGGGGGCGGGGGGGTATAGTGGAACACAAATTGAATGAGTCAACAATGTGATACAGTTGTGAAAAAGACTAATATTCTGAGGGTTTATTAACAGGAGTGTAATTTATTACCACAGGAGTAATTATCCCTTTTTACTCATCACTGGTGAGGCCTCAGCTGGAGTACTGTGTACAAGTCTGGGTGCCTCACTTTAGGAAAGATATGGACAACTTGGAGAAAGTCCAAAGGAGAGCAACAAAAAAGATTTTGACAATCTGACCTTTGAGTTAAAAAATACTCAGGGGCGGAGGACCTGATAAGTCTTTAAATATGTTACTCCTGGGGGAATTCTGCACCAAAAAATTAAAACTTCTGTGCACAATATTTTAAAATTCTGTATATTTTATTTGTCAAAATAGTACAATATAATCAAACCAGTTTCAATTATTTTGGTAATTTATTTCAAAATACCTGTCAATAAGTATGTCTGTAACAATGCAGACAACGAAAAAGATTCAGGAAATGTTTTTTGACAAATAGATTCCTTACTAGGCATTCCTCTTCTCTGAGGAGTTTCCACCCTGGTATCCAGTGGAAGCTCCACATTGACCAACTAGTAGAGACCTTTGGTCATGAAGAAATTGTGGTCTGGGACCATATCAGTGGCCGTATTGGAACCTTTGCAGGTTTTCTCCTGCCTCCAGATCATCTTTGCATCCTCTCCTCTCTATGTTCTCCAGTAGGTCACGATCCTACTGCAAGAAGCCGTTCCCAGTACTGGGTTCAGTGCCAAACAAGAGTAATCTGCTCAGATGAATCCCCCCTTGCAAGAATTGGAGGAGATTGCATCTCAGCCAGCCTTGGCTTTCTGCTTTTCATCGCCAGATGATGTAGTTGTGTTGGGGGACTCCTCACCTCCACCGGATGATTATAGAGTCCACCAGGACCTTCTACAGAATGTGGCTTCTTCTATAGATATTCAGGTGTAAGTGTCTCAAGAGGTCTCACAGAAAAGTTATTACTTTGGGATCTGTGGGACCCTCTCAAGTGGTGCTTCCAACAAATCAGTCTAAAATGGAGCCTACTGAAGTTCTGTGGCAAACTTCTTCCCTACTGCCTATACTGAAAAGAATTGAGTGGAGATATTATGTTCCTTTTCAGGGATTTTAATGTTTTTACACCCCCCTGCTCTCAGGGTCTTTGGTGGGCTCAGTTAACAGTGAGGGAGAGTGCAGGGTCAGCAAGCATCTACCTCAAAAGCAAAGGATGTGAAGAAGCTTGTTGATCTTTTTTGGAAGGAACTTTATTCAGCAGCTGGACTACAGCTCCGGATCGCTAATCAGCAAGCTTTGCTGGGATGTTATGCTTTTTTCCCCTCTAAGACAATGTTTTAAACTTTATGAACAAGTTGCCAGAGGAGGCAAGACAAATTTTCTGGCTTTGGTGGACGAGCGGAAAATGGTGTCCAGGACCTTGCTTCGGGCAACATTAGTTCTTCTTTGAGTAGTGTCCCTGTGGATGCTCCATTTTAGGTGGCAGTGCGTCCCGGCGCCGTCTATTGGAGATTTATGGTAGCAGTGTCTGCGTGGGTGGTAGGCATCTCGCGGTGCCGTTGGTGCTGTGTGTAGCACGCACATGACCTGAGCCCTCCAGTTTCTTCTCAACTGTTCTCGGCTAAAGATGGAGCAAAGGGGCAGTGTTAGCACTTCTCCCTAAAACCATTAAGAAATAGCTTTTAGATACATATTTAGATAAATTGCTAGAGAGATACTTAGAGTTAGTGTTGGGAGGGGGGGGAAGTCTTGTTAATTCGTTAGACAACTCCCCCTTAAGGGAACGGTTACTAGTTAAAATGCCTGGTTCTCCGATGCGGCTTCTGCCGCTATGCCATGCCCAATTCAGACGGACATTCTTTATGCATACGCTGCCTGGGTGAGGGGCATATTCCCCAGAAATGCCCCCACTGCAGCAACCTGAGAGCCAGAGCCTGACGGGACAGGGATCTCCGGCTTAAAATGATCTTGATGGAGAAGTCCCTCCAGCCTGAGGCAGACAAGCAAACAGCCGCTCCAGGCAAACCTCAAGATGGGAAAGGAGACCTACCCTCTGAAAAACCAAAAAAGAGGGCTCAAACATCTCCGCAGAGAGGTCCGCAAAAGCAGAGGAAGTCTCCTGCAAGGTCGCTACCCCGATGCCATCTTACTCTTGGGTGAGCACCTATGACGTTCCAGGCACCTCTGGCACCACCGAGGTCAGAGTGAAAGAAACGGAGTCAAGGCACTGACAAAAACGTGCCGCCTCTATGGCACCGAGCTCACCGGTATGGGACTTGGCACCGAGTGTCTCAGGCACCATGCCTCCACTCCCAGCACTGACAACTCAGTCGGCACCAGTAGACGCCACAAAATTGGCACTGACGGCACCGGCCAAACAACAACACCGGTCGGCACCGACTCCATCAACAAAAGGGAAAGCACCCCCGGCACCGATTACTCAGAAATCAGCACCGACAGTCTCCGCTGCATCAGAGAGACTTAGAAATCTCATCAGCACCACATTCACCAGTACTCAGTGCTGAGGGCTCCCCCACAGACTCCAGAGGAGATCACAGCCCCCAAGACATGGCACAGTCCTCCAGTGATGAGGAGGATGATTTGCAGGGACAATACCCCCTATATCCATGTCACTCCTCACCTAAGGCCCACCGACCAACAGGGAGCCACATGGGTCCAAGACACCAGATATGAACCAAACATGGTGCAGACCCCCATGGATGTACCCTCCTGTGGCTTTCTCACTGCAATGGGTGCACTGGGAACTTTGCAGCTCATATAGGGGTCAGCATTCTAGACCGTCCACAGCGCATAGATGTGAACTGCGCTCTAACCCAGTGTCTCCCACACCACAACCCTGGGAGACACAGGAAGGGGGAGAGGACACAGAGACGGGCACAGACCATGACACATCTCCTGTACGCAATTCATCTTCCTCCCCAGATGAGGCAATTATGCCCCCACCGCCAGCCTCAGCGGATGACTTTAAACAGTTTCAAGAGCTGTTCAAGAGAGTTGTGCAAAGCTAAGACATCCCGCTCAAGGTGGTAAAGACAAACCAGCACAAGCTGGTACAAATACTGCAACCCGCATCTACCTCCAAGATTGCCCTTCCCATCAACGAGGCCAACTTGGATCCTATGGAGACAGTCTGGCAGACACTTGCTTCTATTCCACCCACCTACAAAAGAGTGGATAGAAAATATTATGTACCATCCAAGGCAACAGACTTTCTATTTGTGCTCCGGCCTCCCAACTCCCTAATTGTTGAGGCAGTAAATCACCGTAAGAAACAGCCATAATTCAAGGTTACAACCCATGACAAAACACAAAAGACTTGACTTGTTCGGATGCAAAGTATATTCCTCTGGCACCCTTCGGTTTTGAGTGACCAATTATTCAGCACTACTGGCCAAATACGACTATGACAACTATGGGAAACTTGCCCAGGTCACATCTGAGCTCCCAGAGGAAAAAGAGACACAATTCCAGGCCATTGTCACTGTGGGCCAAGTCATATCCAAAACAGCCCTTCAGGCGGCATTGGACACAGAAGACAGGGCAGCCAGAATGACAGCCACATGCTTGCTGAGGACAGCTTGCTAGTTTCCATTTGCCAATTCTCCTACCATGATGTTTTCCCACAAGCTATCCTACTACCCAATTGCTTGGACCTGCATCACTTTAGATGAGTGGGTCTTAAGCATGCTGGAATTTGGATATACCCTTCAATTTATTGCAACCCACTTCCTTTCCCATCCCTTTTCAGGGACCTCTGTCACAAGAAAGTTCTCCTTTGGGAGGTACAATCTCTTCTGTTGGGAGTTAAAGAGGAAATTCCTCGATTACACAGAGGGAAGGGTTTAATCTGGCTATTTCCAAATCCTAAGAGCAAAAGGAGGTCTCAGACCCACACTACACCAGTGACAGCTCAACAAATAACTAAAGAAAATAAAGTTTCACATGGCATTCTTGCTTCCTTTATCCTCCCTGGTGACTGGTATGCTGCCCTCGACTTAAAGGATGCTTATTTCCTTGTGTTGAGACACCAAAGCCACAGGAAATTCCTCAGATTTATGGTCAACCAATCTCACTACCAGTTTGCAGTCCTACCATTTGGCCGGTCTGTAGCCCCACATGTTGTGTTCACAAAGTGCATAGTGGTAGCATTTCTGAGAAAGTCAGGAGTTCGTGTTTTCAAAGCTAGATGACTGGTTAGTGAGAGGCTGATCCAGGAGCCAGGTGGTGTCCAGTGTGGCCATGATCCAATCCACCTATGGCTCTCTAAGGTTGCTTATGAAGGAGGAAAAAGCAATCTTATCACCTGTATGAAGATTAGAGTTTATAGGAGTGATCTTGATTGTATGAAAGCCGAGACATTCCTCCCATAGTCCAGGTTCCAGATGATGCTAAATATTTCTTTGGACCTGAAGGCCCATCCTACCACAACAATACGGAATTGCCTCAGTCTTCTGGGGCAAATGGCCTCATGTACTTGCATGGTTTGGCATGTTAGGCTGCATCTGAGGAAGCTGCAGGGGTGGCTGAGCTCTGTGTATTCCCAGTCTGTTATCCTCTGGACATGCTGGTTTAGATTCCTGTATGTGTCCTTAGTCACTTTGGAATGGTAGACAGACCCATCCACTGTGTTTGTGGGAGTACCATTTGCTCCTTGCAAGTTACTTTAACTCTGGTTGGAAGGCTCACCTGGGATCCCTGCAGAATCAAGGGCTGTGGGGTGGCCAGGACTTAGCTCTACATATAAATGTAAGATAATTGAGAGCCATTTGACGAGCATGTCACATGTTCCTCCCCCATATCATGGGAAGGAATTTACTAGTACTCATAGCGCATGGCCACTGTATTGTCTATGTGAATAGACAGAGAGGGGGCAGATCAACCCAGCTATCCCAAGTGGCAATGCTACTGTGAGACTCTTGTATCACCAGTTCAATCCATCTTGAAGCCTCCTACCTTCCAAGATGTCCAGAACAGTCTGGCAGATCAGATGAGTAGGTCTTCACCAGTCACCATGAGTGATCTCTTTGCCCAAATATAGCAAGGTTCATATCCCAATTGTGGGAGATTCCCCACTCGGACCTGTTCGCAACCAAAATCAGCAGGAAGTATTATCTGGTTTTTTTTTTTTTTCATGAGCAGGTCACAGTCCAGGATCCCTTGGGCGCGTGTACACGTTCCCTCTATTTCAACTACTACACAGAATAGTGGTAAAAATCAAACAGGATCATGCTCGAGTGATACTCGTAGCACCAGTGTGGCCTTACCAATATTCATTCTGCTGAACCTCTCAACCAGGGATCAGTTGACATTGCTAGTGGATCCAGATCTCACAGGACCTGTTACCCACACAATCTAGGGCACCCCACTTTTACCCTACTGTGGGCTCAAGGAGTAATCCTGTTAAGTTAGGCACCCCACTCTTTCCTGTCCTAGGTTCGGGGCATAAGGGCGTAACCTTCTGCGGGTTTGTGGGACTTTTTACCAGTGAAAGAGCCTTACACAGTAATATCCTTGATCAATTGTTAATAAATATAGGTTAACAGAATACATACGCTAAGCATACAATGCTCACCACTCCCAACAAGGCTGACAAACTTTTCTTGATGGCCAGTCAGGATCAGGTCATCTGGGGCTCCAGCTTCTGAATGGTGTGGTCAGCAAGGTGTGATGGTTTTGGAAGCTCTGACTTTGGGCTGTGTTCTGGAGTTTGGTTCCAAATAACTTCCTGTTGGCCCCCAGTTTATATTGTTAAAACTTGGGTCCTGCTTAGCTATCCCTTAACCAATCATTTTAAACTGAAGTACTACAAAACAGTATTTTTCACCAATCCTAGCCCACTATCTAAGAGTTCATTTGTTTTTGTCAAAATGTAAATTAAAGAACACACAGTGATAACTATAGGTAAACAAATGGAAGTATTACAAATTTAAAAACAGACAAAAGCAATAAATGGTATCTTTTTCAACTGAAACTGCTAAGTGGTTTTTCCAGACAGAGTTATCTTGCAAAGTTTTCTTTACACATCTTAAGATTTGTCTGTCTGGTCACTATTTGTGCTATTAGGCCAGAAATGCTTCTTAACAACCCAATATTATATTGTTTTGGTGCAGTTTAGATGGGATGTGACTCCCAGCTTCTTAGCTCATAGCTGCTGCTGTCCTACTATGGCTGCTGCTTCTTACTGCAGAAGGGCCTTGGCTTACAGACCATGGTCACCACCTCCATCATAACCGGGAGGCCCTTCACACCACAGCCTGGATGATCCATGGTTAACACCTCAGGAGAAAATATGTTCAAAGGAGGTACAAAACATCCTCTTAAATAATAGAAAATCTTCTAATAGGTATACTTGCCTGGTGAAGTGGAAGAGGTTCCCTGTCTAGTCCCAGCAGAAAGGCATTCCCTCAGTCCAAGCTCCGATACAACATGTGCTAGACTATTTGTTATAAATGAAACAGCAAGGCCTTGTCATTAATTCCACTAGGGTTCACCTAGCAGCTATCTTGGCTTTCCACCCTCCAATTGATCAATCACTTTTCTCCAACCCCATGTTGTCAGGTTTTTGAAGGGTTTGAACAGGTTATATCTCCAAGTAGAGAGGCTCCTGTTCCCCCCTAGGGTCTTGAAACTGGTTTTAACAAAACTAATGGGTCCATCCTTTTAACCGCTAGCTACCTGTTCACTGCTCCATGTCTCACTGAAAGTAGCATTTTTGGTGGCAGTCACCTCAGCCAGGAGAGTGGGTGAATTAGGAGTTCTGGTGTCTGACCCTCTGTATACATCAATCAGGCAATATATTTACCAACTTCACCAACATGCTCACGAGGGGGAGGGTGTTAATGTTTTACTTGGACAAGACTAAACTGTTAAATTGTCCTCTCAGTTGTTCGTGGCAATTGCAAACAGAATGAAGGACCTTCTGGTTTGTTCTCAAAGAATCTTGTCCTGGATTCCTTCCTGTATCCATTTGTGCTATGACATGGTTACTGTAACTCCACCAAATAGGATAACACATTCAACCACATCGCAGGCAGCCTCTGCAGTCTTTTTAGCCCATGTGCTTATTCTCTGTTTGAAGAGCTGCAACTTGGTCTACAGTACATTTGCCTCTCATGCTATCTCCCAACAGTCTACAGATGATGCCAGATTTGGATTGTGTGGTCCTTCAATCATTATTCAGGTAGACTCCAGTCTGACCTCCAGATCAAACTGCTTGTGATTGACCTGAAGTGGAATGAACGTGCTATCACTCAAAGAAGAAATGGTTATTAACTTGTTCTGTAACTGTTCTTTGAGTTGTTTCACACATGTCCATTCCATGACCCATCCTCCTTCCCCTCTGCATTGGAGTCCGTCCAGTAAGAAGGAACTGGGGGATCAGGGGGCAGCTCTGCAGCAGAGGGAAAAGTCTCTGAAAACAGTGCACTGGATGCACACACTCTGAAGTGGAATGGACATGTGCAACACAACTTTAACAACAACAGCTACAGAACAGGCTAGTAACCTTTTATCTCATAATAGGGGTTTTAAAAAAGTGAAATTACCAGTGGATCCAATTGGTCATGACTTCGGGTATCCCAAATTTATCCATTCCATAATACAAAATTACACCTTCACCTTATGAGAGCATCAGGGTGTGCCTAAACAAGATCGGTAAGTGGATGCAGGCTTTGTTACTCTTCTGAACAACTCTTCTGAGATATTATGGGATATTCTCCTAGTGAAAAAGCTGACCGAGGAATAGTAGGGTTTTTAATGTAAATCTGGCTACTGTTTCTGGACTATGAGAGAGACAAAAGAAAGACTTGGGAAATACATGCATTTTGTGCTACTGTAAATCTTTTACAGTCTTTAGCTTCTGTTTTAGCTCTCTCTCTCTAATTATTAAATGTTAAGCTTCCACTCCTATATATGCTGTCACACCAAAAAGCTACAATACTGTAATGTTATATCTCAGATTACATTTTTGTATTTACTCAGGGCGGGTCTACACTTAAAATGCTTCTTTCATCAGCATAGTTAATCCACCTCCGTGAGAGCTGTTAGCTACGTTAACAGGAGAAGCCCTCCCGTCGACATAGTACTCTCAACACGGAGCTACGTTGGCATAACTGCATTGCTCAGGGGTGTGGATTTTTCACACCCTTGAGCAAAATGGTTATACCGATGTAAGTTTCTAGTGTAGACCTGGCCTCAGTCTGAAAAATATAAAATACAAATGTTTTTAAAAATTTCTAACTCCATTTACAAAAAGAACGAGGAGTACTTGTGGCACTTTAGAGACTAACAAATTTATTTGGGCATAAGCTTTCATGGGCTAAACCCCAAATAAATGTGTTAGTCTCTAAGGTGCCACAAGTACTCCTTGTTCTTTTTGCTGATACAGACTAACACAGCTACCACTCTGTAACTTGATTTGCTGCTTTTATTATTTTTAGCTAATACTAAAATATTGCTCTTAAATATAATCTAGGGTTGATACATTTTTTGCTTCTCTTGTCTAGGCATATCTGACAGTATGTAAGGATGCTATAATGGTTGGCCTTGGAGATACAGAGTTTCAAGCACACCTTTTAGATGTTACTCTTTCAATTATGCAAACAGGTACACCCTAATAACAATGTTTGTGGTACTTTCTTCTTCCCCATGCTGCTGTAAGGGGTGTTTTTTCTCGTATAGTCTTTCCCTCTCACAGAGAGTCCTGGTTGCTTTAAGGAGAAGAGTTAGGGAATAAATTTCTGCTAAATTAGCATAGCCTCTGCCTCTGCTTTGGATCGTCTTTCCCCATGAATAAACTCCAGTGTATGCCTCTGCTGCTGTTCGTAGCTTCTGCTAGCAGCAATAGTGTGAATCATTGTGACCTGATTCTTGAGTTTCTTCTTTGAGTGCTTGCTCATGTCGATTCCATTCTAGGTATGTGTGCCCCCACATGCACAGTTGTCAGAGACTTTTTGCCTTAGCAGTATCTGTTGGGCTGGCTGTGTCGCCCTCTGTAGTGCCGTGCTTATGTGGCAGTATATCAGGTGCCGGCAGCCCTATGTCCTCTCAGTTCCTTCTTACTGCATGTGACGGTTGTTTGGAGCGCCTGGCCTTGCTTAGCAAGAGCATTAGAGGTTCTTCACTGTTCAGATCGTTCTCCTATGATATTTAATCCAGTGATTAGTTAGCTGTTAAGTGTTTTAGTAGTAGTTTAGTAGTTAGAGTCCCGGCTGGCACTTAGTCCTTGAGTGGGGCATGCCCCGCTCCCCTGGTTTCAAGCCGTGTTCAGAGTGCAGCTGGTCGATGCCCATCAACGACTCTCACGAGAGTTATCTGACGTGCCTGGGGGAGTCCCATAGAAAAGAAAAGTACCGGATCTGCAAAAACTTTTGTCCCCAAACTCAAAAAGAGTGAAACATTCAATTAACGGCCCTCCTCATGGCAGATCCTATCAAGACGCCAGCTCAGACGACCAAGCCAGTGATGGGACCGCCCCTAAAGGCAGTGGAACGCCCCTGGACCACAGGCGTTGTTCCCCTTCTCCACGGTCGAGGACCCCAGTGCTGTAACCTCGGTCTCCGGCCAGAAGGCGCAGATCTCCAACACCACGGTCTCCGCCTACAAGACACGGAACTCAGGAGTCTCAACGCTGATCCCCATACTCTCAGTACCGACGGTCTTTCTGCCAGAGATCACGAAGGCACTGGTCGCCTCGCAGATCTCCCAGTTGTCTGCCCCCTCCAACATGAGATGGTTTCTGGTCACGGCACCGTTCGCTGAGGCCCTGGTACGTTCTTGGGACAGGCACCGGCCCTCGCCCTCCCCATACCGGTCGCCGACAGACTCAGGTTTCCACGGCCCCGCCCTGGTAACCAGAAGGGAAGTGGTCTGGGTCAGAGGGACAGTTCAGCCCTTCCCCTATACAGGGCGAATTGTCTCCCAGCCGGGAGCCTGCCAAGGCACCTGCAGCACCAGCATGGGATCAAGGGCAGTGGCCTTTCCAGTGGCAGTACTGGAACCCGTGGGGAGTGCCTGTTATGCCAGCTCCATGCTCCCACTGCTCCTCCCAGGCTAAATCAGACAAGCTTCCTCTGGCACAGCCGGCACTACTGTTGGAGCAAGGGGCCAAATCCGAAGCGGTGACCCACGGGGGCCCCAGCAGCCGCAGAGCAATCACCGACGCAGCAAGGGGACACCCCCCAACCTTCAGCGGTGCAGTCATCCTCGTTGTCCCCGGACGAGGTGGTGGCAGAGCCCTCACAAACCCGAACCTTCTCCCCCCCCCAATTACTTCAGGGAGCACCAAGCCCTACTTAAAAGGGTGGCGGCCAACCTGAACTTGGAGGTCGAGGAGCTAGCCTCTTCAATGTCATTCCCTCCCCAGCCCGGGTTGCATTGCCTGTTCACCCAGAGGTCCTAAAGTCAGTGTGGCAGACCTCATCTTTCATTCCACCCACATCTCAGAAGGCAGAAAAGAAGTACTATGTCCCCACGAAGGGGTTTGAATACGTATACACGCACCCTCCCGTGGGGTCCCTGGTTGTGTTCACTGTCAACGAAAGGGCCAGGCAAATGGCACCCCCAAAAATAAAGATGCCAAGAGGCTGGACTTATTTGGCAGAAAAATTTATTCAACAGCAAGCTTCCACTTTAGGGGGTCTAACCATCAGGCCCTACTTGGTAGATATAATTTCAACCTGTGGCACTCAATCGGCAAGTTCAAAGAGAGCCTCCCACAGGATCAGGCGCAGGAGTTCACCGCTCTGATAGAAGAGGGCAAGGTGGTTAGGGTGACCAGATTACATGAACAAAAAATCGGGACACATGGGGGGGCAGGTCCAGAGTGCCGCCGAAGCAAAAAAAAAAAAAAAAAAAGCCCCGAGCCAGAATATCGGGACAAATGGCATCCCGACCATACATCCGTCGGGATGTGGGACAAACGACTGAATATCAGGACAGTCCCGATTTTATCGGGACGTCTGGTCACCCTAAAGGCAGTAGCCCAGGGTGTCCTCCAGAGGGCCGGGTATGCCACGGACTTGCGTCCAGGGTGGTTGCCTCTGCAATAGCCATGAGGCTAGCTCCTGGTTACAGACCTCTGGGCTGTCCCAAGAAATGCAATCCACCCTCCAGGACCTCCCTTTCGAGGGAACGGGGCTCTTCTCTGAGCTAACTGGTGCTAGGCTCCACAGCCTTAAAGACTCTCAGGCCACCCTCCGCTCTTTGGGCCTGCATACTCCTCAGCAGGCCAGAAAGCCATTCCGCCCTCTGCCGTCGTCGAGGTCTTGGGGTACCCCTCGATCAGGCTCCTACAAAGACAGGGGCTTTAAGCGATGCCACCAGCGGCGTCTCATCCACCTGCCCAGCCTGGTCCTTCCAAGGACCAAGGCAGCCAAAAGCAGTCAGTTTGAGGGTGCGCCTGAGGACAACGCTCCAGTTGCTGCACCGGATCCGTTCCCTGTCTTCCTCAACCACCTCTGCCCTTTCCGGTCGGCCTGGTCCGATATCACCTCAGACCGCTGGGTGCTCGACACAGTCTTGTTGGGCTATAACCTGCAGTTTGCAGCCAACCAACCCTTTCATCCCCCTTCCAGGACCCTTCTCACGAGCAACTCCTCGTTCAGAAGGTTGAAAACCTCCTGCGCCTAGGGACAGTGGAAGAGGTTCCGCAAGGCATGGAGGGAAGAGGATTTTACTCCCGCTACTTCCTCATTCCGAAGGCAAAAGGGGGCCTCAGACCTATTCTAGACCTGCGTCGCCTCAACACGTCTCTCAAAAAGTTGAAGTTTCTTATGGTCTTTCTGGCCTGCATCATCCCGTCCCTGGATCCGGGAGACTGGTACGCCGCCCTCTTTTTAAAGGACACATACTTCCATATTCCCAGGGCACTGGCGTTTCACGTTGGGCCAGTGCCATTTCCAGTTAAGGGTGATGCCCTCTGGTCTCTCGTCGGCTCAGAGAGTGTTCACCAAGTGTATAGCACCAGTGGCCGCTTATCTGCGATGTTGGGGTGGGGGTCCAAATCTACCCATACCTCAACGACTGGTTGATAAGGAAGGGGCTGGTCCTTGTATCAGGTGCAGAGGCATCTCGATCTGTTCCACTTGCCACGACCTGGGCCTAATAATAAATGATAAAAAGTCAACCCTCACCCTAGTGCAACATATAGAATTCATTGGTGTGGTACTCGACTCCACTTGAGCCAGAGCCTTCCTCCCCAAGACTTGGTTCCAAGCCATAGTGGACCTCATCTCATCTCTGCATGCCCATACACTCACCACTGCCCACACGTGCCTTAGACTGTTAAGTCACATGGCAGCATGCGCTTACGTGGTCCGGCACATGCAACTCCGCCTCCGGCCCCTACAGGTGTGGCTGGTGTTGGAGTATGGACTGGGTGATCAGAATTCCGCACAGTGTACTGTCGTCCCTTACCTGGTGGCAAGATTCCACATCGGTGCTGGAGGGAGTCCCTTTCGCAGCCCTCGTCGGTGACTCCTGTCTCCGACACTTCGGACCCGGGCTGGGGTGCCCAGCTGGGCAATCTCAGTACTCAAGGCTGTTGGTCCAGTCACGATCGGTCCCTGCACATCAGTGTCAGGGAACTCAGGGCTGTTCACCTAGTCTGCCAAGCCTTTCAGACTCGCATACGAGGCAGGGTGATTCAGGTCCTAATGGACAACATGGCCACTGTCTTCTATATCAACAGACAAGGGGGAGCCAGGTCGTCTGCCCTCTTCCAGGAAGCACTCTGGCTCTGGGATTTCTGTCTGCAGCAATCCATCTTGTGGCTGCTCACCTCCCAGGGGCCAGGAATGCTTGGGCAGGATATTCTCATCTCGCCACAAGTGATCCCTTCACCTGGAGGTGATCAGTTCTATCTTCCACGGGTGCGGAACTCCCCAGGTGGACCTACTCGCATCCAGGCAGAACAGAAAATGCCACATCTTCTGCTCGTTCCAGGGCAGGGACAGGGAATCCCGGTCGGAGGCCTCCTGCTCCCATGGTCGGGGGCTCTGATGTATGCCTTTCCTCTGGTGCCATTGCTGCCAGAGTTGTCATGAAGATCAAGGAGGACAGGGCGAAGGTCATCCTCATAGCGCCGGCAAGGCTGCGCCAACACTAGTTCAGCACTCTGCTGGACCTCTCAGTGGCGACCCCATTCCGGATGCCACTCAGGGCGGACCTGTTATCCCAGAACCACGGCAGTCTCCTGCACCCAAACCTGGCAGCGCTACATCTGACGTCTTGGCTGCTGCATGGCTAAACACACAAGAAAACAGCAGCATTTGTCAGAGGTCCAGTGAATCCTGTTGGGCAGTAGAAAGTCCTCCCCCAGCACGACCTACCTGGCCAAATGGAAGCGATTCACCTGCTGGATGGTGAATAAGGGGCTCCCCATTGCAGCTCATTCTAGATTACTTCCTGCCCCTCAAGCTACAGGGCTTGTCACTCTCATCCATCAAAGTCCATTTAGTGGCCATCTCGGCCTTCCACCCACTGCTCGAAGGCAGGTCGGTTTTCTCTCAGGAGATCATGGCCAGATTCCTTAAGGGCCTGGAGCGCCTCTACCCGCACATCAGGGATCCTGTTCCTCCATGGGACTTGAATCTGGTGCTTTGCGGCTCACTGATCCCCCCTTCGAGCCTCTGGCTCCCTGCTCTCTCCTTCTCCTCTCTTGGAAGGTTGTGTTCCTGGTCGCGGTGACATCAGCCTGCCGGATAGCCAAGATTTGGGAGCTCACCTCAGAACTGCCTTACACTGTCTTCTACAAGGACAAGGCTAAAACCGCACCTGGGCTTCCTTCCTAAGGTAGTCTCTCAGTTTCATTCGAGCCAAAATATTTACTTACCAGTCTTCTTTCCGAAGCCAGATAAGTCGGAGGAGGAGCACAGGCTATATGCCCTGGACATCAGGAGGGCTCTGGCCTTCTACATTGACAGGACCAAGCCATTCCGTAAGTTGACGCAATTATTCTTGCTGTGGCAGACAGAATGAAAGGTTATCCTGTTTCTGCTCAGAGAATTTCCTCCTGGATCACTGCCTGCATTCACTTTTGCTATGATCAAGAAAAGGTGCTGCCCCGGCAATCGTCACTGCCCAATCTACCAAGGTGCAGGCCTGTTTAGCAGCTTTTTTGGCCCACGTGCCTATTCAGGACATCTGTAGGGCAGCCACCTGGTCATTGGTCCTTACTTTCATGTTCCACTATGCACTTACCCAGCTGGCCCAGGACGATGCTGGCTTTGGTAGAGCAGTATTGCAAGCCGCCAAGAGGTGAACTCTGAGCCCACCTCCATAGATACTGCTTGTGAGTCACCTAGAATGGAATCGACATGAGCAAGCACTCGAAGAAGAAAAAACGGTTACCTGCCTTTCGTAACTACTGTTCTTCAAGCTGTGTTGCTCATGTCCATCCCATTACTCATCCTCCTACCTTTCTGTTGGAGTTGCCGGCAAGAAGGAACCGAGAGGGCGTAGGGCCGGTGACGGCTGATATACTGCCGCATGAGCGTGGCACTCCAGATGGCGCCACAGCAGGCCCTATGGATACCACTAAGGCAAAAGTCTCCGACAACTGTGCACATGGGTGTGTACACACCTAGAATGGACATGAGCAACGTATCTTGAAGAACAGTTATGAAATGTAGGTAACCATTTTTTCTCTGCTGTTCACAGGCTTCTGAATAGCAGTAGTGATTTTGACTTATTTACATTGCTGCCACAGCTTGATCAAACTGTCATTGGAGTTGTCTATCTCTAGGCTCCAGGAGATAACTCTGTCATATCTAGTATTCAGTTTGCATTTGGAGTTATCTCCATAATAAGGACTAAGTGAAAGCTTAATTTCTGAAGAAACTTATAGGTTAGGCCCCAATACTCCTCATTGAAAACTTCCCACTGAGTAGTGAAGAAATGGATTTTTTTTAGGCAGTGTGTGTAATGTTTCCAGCCCCTCTCACATATAATATAGAAATAAATATTACTCTGCTGTGCTGGAAATGCAGCAGAGTTGTGCTTGGTGTTGTACTTGGTGAAAAAAGGAAAACGAGACTAACTGAAGTGACCAGGCTAATATTCCTGACACAACTCAGTAAACTAACTGGTCTCTTACATTTCTTCAATCATACAGGATTTTGTGTGAACTCCCATTTAAATAGAGGAAGGAAGCGACTTAGTCTGCTGTCTCTGACTTGATCTTTCCTTTGGATGTTTTGAATACAACTTTTTACAATATGTAGAGTGAATTTTACAAATGCTGTTATAAAACAAAAGGGTCCCTAAAGTCCCAAGAACTCCTCTGAAACCCACTTTCTTTTCTTCTACTGTATAGTTTCCTTTATTAAAATATATTTTTATGAAAATATGAAATATGAAAATATTTTTATGAAAGCAAAGTAGCAGCTCTCAATGTGAAAAAGAGCTATTTTACAGGGTGGGAGAGGGAACAAGTCCATAGGCATGTTTATTTGAAAACAATTGAACGTTTTCATGTCTGGACCCTGTGTCCCTGCATGGCTTTGCAATTTAGCTGTTACCTTAAAATTAGTGTACAAAAGACACCATATACAAAACCTCATGATGATGTTTTACATCTTAAAAATTAAATTTGCCAAACATTTAAGCTGTTATCTAAAAGAATTGATACCGTAATTAAAACAGTAAAATCAGTAAGAAATCTAAACAGATGTTAATTAACTAAATATAAAATAATCTGCACTAGTAAATTACAGCCATTTATATAGTGTAAATGAATTTCATTCTAAGCTTGTAGCTAAAGCAGGGCTTAAATTTAGCCAGAGATGTCCAGAGTGGAGCTCTGATAAATATTTTTCAACCCCCCTGGAGTTTTTATAGTATGTTGAGGGGTAGGCGGCGAGGCTCTGGGAAATACTGTGAGAATTTAAGCCCTGAGCTAAAGAATATCAATCTAGTTAAAAATCTGTAGTTTTTAAAATATCTAATATGATATTTGTTTCTCTAGAAAGAGGCTGCTTTTGTATTCCTACATTACTTTGTGTTCTAAAAGAGATTATTGAAGCTTCTTTGACTCAAAACATTGATACGGATGAAGAATTGGCAACATTTCTCCATGCTGTTCAGGCTCTGTTCCAGAAAATTTTAGAAAGTGTGGCACGCAGGCTCAGAAAACAGCGGGAAGAGGGGCTTCAGGTATTTGTCATCCTATTACATACACGCACACAAAACCATGTGATTGTAAAGTTAACTATAAACACTGACTCTGACTTTGACTTTTACTCAGTTGTGAGTTGGACACATTGGGTTTATTGGCACAAAAATACTTGATTATCCTCTCAGTTTAATAATTGATTTGACATTATGCCATTTGTGTCTTGTGCTCTAAGCCTTGTCATCGATAGGATTTTCCCCACTGCTGGTCCTGCTCAGTGGAAATACTAACATAAAAAAGAATCAAGCATTTGTGATGTCAGTTTAGACTGCCAAACTGGATCAGGCATTTTTATGCTAGTTCCTCCTTCTGTAGGCTATTTGTCTCTTCTTCACAGCTATATGGCTTACAACTGTTCTCTCTTGCCCAAAGGAGTGGTGTCAAAGTCCTCCAGAACCTACTTTACTTCGAGAAAAGGATATTTATATGCTTATAGCAGGGTCTGGACAGTGTTATTTTCCTAGTGCTGAGATCAGTAGATCAGTGCCAGGAAGTCTTGGATCCTTTCAAGTAATCCTACGTCTGCATTTGAGCTGGGAGGGGTGATTCCCAGCTCATGTAGACACACCTGCACTAGCTGTACTCAAGCTAGCATGCTAAAAATAGCAGCATAGAATGGCATGGGCAGGAATTTGGGTTAGCCACCCAGGTACATATCCAGGGAGTCTGGGTGGGTACATACGCAGGCATCTAGCCTAAGCTGCTGTCCATGCTACCCTAGCTACAATGTTGTTTTTAGCACGCCAGCTTGAGCAGAGCTAGTGTAGGTATGTCTACATGAGCTGGGAATAGTATCTCCCCGCTCAAATGTAGACATAGCCTTAGGGTCCAAGCCTTTGCCTTTAGTGCCCTTGGGGGATTTTCCTTGTGCTTTTCAACCCTTTGACTAGGCCCTAAAGGATAGATTCACAGAGACCTAACTGCTCTCGTAATGCTAGTTCTCTTCCTTATTCTGAGTTGCTAAATTGCACCAAAAGACAGCTAAACTACATTAAATATTTTCCTAACATTAGTTTTCTAGGTAAGCAATTGCTGTGGAGGGGTTATGTGATAGCAAATGGGAGAGAGACAGTAGTTCCTGAGACACTCTATTAAGATGTAGTCAACTCTATGAAAGTTTGAGAATCCCTGACTAAAGGCTTTTAATTGCACGAAAATGTTCTCGAAGTGGAAATACTGTAACTGATCTATATTTTTATTTATTTAGTTGATTCATTCTATTCAAATGCCTCTTGGAGAATTCATACACACAGTCCAGTGCTGGTGTTCATCTTGTCCAACAGTTCACCATGGTGTACTCTCTACTCTCCTAGCTGCAGTAGTGGTCGAGATAAGTCACACACTGCGAAAGGTAAAGAGTTTAAATAATCTGTTTTTTAGTTTATTATACTAAAAGTTCAACTTTTAAACCAAAGCAATTCAAAAGAGGGCTAGCCAGTGGTCAAGCTTGAATTGTACGGTAGTGCCCTTCCCTGGTTAATCTGAACCTCCATTGACTGTACATCAAAGGAAAGCCAGAGATCCTGACCTGTTGAAGGAGGCGTTATGCAGTGATAAAATTGGCATTTTTGTAGACTTAATAAAAAGCTTTGGTAGTTATCCTGTTATGCCCAAAAAAAAAAAAAAAAAAAAAAACGGTTTTCAGGAGCTTGGCTGTCTCAGGTTGCAGTTCAACATGTTAAGAGATATCAGAGGAAAAGCATCTTCCCATGGTAGAGCAGACCATGCCAACTGCTATCTCATTATCTCTGGACAAGGCAGTGGTTCCTGCAACACCCTCTCAGCCAGATGATTACAAACGCTCCCAGGATTTGCTGTGCTGCATAGTGGATTCACTTAAGACTCCTGTGGAGGTGGTACAGAACAGCTCTTGCACTCCTAAATATACTTCATACTCCCAAGTCTGGCATTACCAGTGAATGAAGCCTTATTGGCTCCAGCAAAGAACATCTGGCAGACACCATACGCTGCACCAACCTCCAAAATGGTTGCAGGTGCTGTCTTCTGGCATCTCTATACCCATAGTATACTTGGCTGTTTGCTTACCACAGCAACTAGAAGACTCCATTAATCAAATTCTTAACTTTGTTGCACTGGGCCTAAAAATCAACAGAGAGATGCCTTCCTTGGGTGCCAATATAGAGAATAGACTTGAATAGGGACAGAATTGAACTCCATGACAGCGAGGGCCTATCTGCCTAAGGACATGTTTGACATCATGGTAGTCCTCATCAACTAGTTGCAGACTCATGCATACGCTACTGTGAGAGCTTGCCTATGTCTGGTCGGTCACAAGGCTTTCTGCACACATCATGCACCATTTGAGACTTCGCTTTTGTTGCATGCTATGGTGGCTGAAGTTGTATACCTTCCAAACAGACACCACGTAGATATGATAGTGCAGGCCCCCTCTGAAGTCCTCTCATCACTGTATTGGTGGAAAGATCCAGATCAGGTGTGAAAAGGAGTACTGGTCTTCCTGCCTTTATTTACAGATGCCTCTCTACTTGGGGGAAGCTCACCTCTACCACCTTCAGGCCTGCTGTCTATGGATCTGTCAGGAAACTCGACTGCATACTTACTAGAGCTTAGGGCAATTTTTTTGCACCTGTACAGCATTTCTACCAGTGATTCAAGGACTGACAATACAAATTGTGACTGTCAACTTGACAGCTATGTTTTATAGACTATGGGGAACCCGATTGTCTCCTCTATGCCAGGAGGGTATTCGAGTCTCCCTTAGCGTGCTGCACTTTCCAGGATGCAAAATGCTTCAGCGCACCATATTAGTAGGCAATTCCATTATCCAAAATATTTTGAATGATTGAAAGAAGTCAATCATTTATAGAGTTGTTTTCACAAAACTAATGGGAGAAAACATCTTTGTTTCAGGCTATGCTGCTATTTAGTCAAACTTGTTTTTTTTAAAGTCTTATTGTTACTCAAAACTTGACACCAATAAGAGCTCAGGCAGCAAACAAGGAAATCACCGTATCCTTGGTTATAAAAACTGTTTATTATCTAATGTTCTTGTTCCCCACATGGTGGGTCCCAACCCACTAGTGCGGTCTGGGAAGGATCTAGGACTGTTGTGTGTGTGCCCTCCCCACACACCCACCCACACCCACCATGCTCTCGCTTACCCTGAGCAGCAGGCAGCAGCATAGGAAGCGGGATCTGGGTGGCAGCACCATGGCGGAAGCACCTTCAATGCATGTACAGGCTGCCTCTGTGCTGCTGCTGCTGCCTGCTTGCCTGCTGCCTCTGTGCTGCTGCTGCCTACCTACTTTTACTTCCTGTGGGTAGCAGGCAGCAGCATGGGAAGCAGGATCTGGGCTGGAGCCAGTAAGCAGACAGTCAGTAGCCTGATAGCGATCATAGGCCTGGCCATGAACGGAGAGGGGGAGCAACTAGGGCTGCAAGAGGGGGTAGGACTGGGAGAGCAAGAGCACGGGGACTGGGGGAGCTGAGCAGGCTTGGACTAAGAAGGGGAGAACAGATGACTGAAGAGCTGAGAAGGGGAAGAGAGAGAGGGTTGCACCAGGCTGAGAGAGGCAAGGGGGTGGATTAAGGGTGTAATAGTGGGTCCCCAAAAGAGACAAAATGCGATTGATGGGTCGCCTTAGTAAAAAGTTTGAGAACCACTGATCTAATGCATAAAAATTTCCACTCTGTAAGTATATGTAATATCTTCCCTGTGGGTGAACTGCCACCTTTATAAATATTAATTAACAGTATAGTTTAAATGGTATTTTTGCTAAAGATCATCTATGTATGATATTCGTTACTTCCTTTAATGTAAATGCCAAATATCTGGTTACAGGTTTTAATCTTTCCATTCAAACTTTGCTTTATTTATTTTGACACTACTGAGTTAAACTGTCAAGTACTTTTCTGAAATGAACTAGAAAAATACATTTAAATGTTTCTCCCTATAACTTAAACATGCATTCAGTTAATGTAGCTACTCAAATCCTGTTTTTCTTAATTTTCTGTGTGCTTCTGTATTTATTTTGAATTTGAGCTGTCTTCTTTTTAGGCTTCAAATGCAGAAGAACTTGCACCACCAGAGTCCATTGCAGACCTTCCTCCACTTTCAGGCAGTTTAATGGCAATGATAATTAAGTCAATAAATGTGGTCAGGTAATGTTTGTCTGTTAGTTTCCATAAGGTTTATTAATGTGAAACCAGTAAGTTACCAAACAAGCTTTTAATTCTTAAATTCAAGTTTGTGGAATTAGCCAGTGAATACCTACATCACCTACTACATTTCCATGTAATATCCCATAATCCTTTACTTTTTTGTTACGTTGATTGTTAGTTTTTTGCTTTTTCTGTTGTCCTTGTATTAGAATCACATGACTATTAATTCTAATAATTCCTTTCCTCATAATCACTCTTCAAAACATACTTATTTCAAAAGGTATTTATAAATCCTAGCCCTTCCTATATGGAAGGGGTTAGATCAAACCAAAGTCTTTACCAGAAATAACACCAGTCATATAACCTGGAACTAACAACATGCATGCTAAAACTCAACTGTAAAATACACACTGATGGCACTATACAAATGGCATAAAGAAATTATTTAGTTGTTACTATAGTAAGTGTTAAGTATGCCCTGAAAGAGAGCTTGGTGTGCATTCTGCAGCTTTCCCGAGTGACTTTTCTGTAGGACCTAAATTGGGATGCTTGTTATGTATTCTACCACTATTTTAGTGGAGGTTAGTTGAGTCTGCTGCAGTTACAGCTGAATTTCAATTTTCATTTTAATCACCCTTTTAAAATTTGTTCATAACTTATTTTTCTTCAAGTGATTAGCCACATGTATTCCAATTCTGCTGTGCATGCACCCCAGATCAGAATCTTTTTGAATAGCAGTGTCAGGGACCATGCCATGCTCTGTACACCTTCCAGTGCTCCATAGCTCAAGAGTCCAAAGGGCAGGGCAACCACAATCACCCTTCTGTCTTGCAACCACAGGTGGTAAGAGGAAACTGAAAACCACATCTCTGCCCACTGCATGATTTTGTTATCTCTAGTTAGTTAGTTTTTCCAATTATAGTTAGTTAGATATATATCGTTTTAGTCTGTTGGCAAAAAAGGGAAAAGTCTTCAAGTCTGGGGTGCCTTGGCACTAGATGCCCCTGCACATGGTGGAATCAAAGCTTCTGGGATTCAAAGTCTGTCTCTCCTGTGAGACAGCTATTCCCATCAGTGACACTCTAAGTGCCTCTTCTGCCTCAGTGAAGCACATACACCACAAAAGTGCTCTGTGTGCTCCTTCTTTTTGAAAAGGACCCAAAAACAAGGGAATCTCACCTCAAACTTTTCCTGACAGATCTATGAGGGCATCATCCATTCCTGAGAGGGAGAAGGGAGCCAAGCCGGACCAGACAGTCTCAGAGCACTCCGGTAAACCAGGGTCTATCTTGAGCTCCAGGACTCAGCCTTGAGAAAGGTTCCAGTCCTTGACTATGGAGTCAGCCAGAGCTTCCCTACATTCCTCAGATCAATCCTCTGAGGAGAGAGGAAGGAAGGAGCATAACGTCCATGGTATCTGGAGACTCAGATCTCTCTCTCTCTCTCCAGCACACAATAGATCTAAGTTTAGAGGCAGTTTAAGTCCCACATTGGATCCCGCTGATGCCTCTGTACTGAAGAGTCACCTCTTGAAGAAGCCATCCTTCTTTTGACCAGTATTGATGGCAGCCAAGCACCCATCCTGAAGCACTCAGAACCAAAACTTCTTCAGAGCTTCTTGAACCAACACCAAAGAACCTGGTGCAAGCTTCTGAGCTCCCAGCCCTAGTACCAAATCTTCTGGCACAGACACTGAAGTATCTTGCACCTTCCTCTGCAGTACCATTCATAATTCCAGACACAGATGAAACCGCCTCAGAACCAATGTTCATGTTTCAAGGAAGCTTGACGGCATCTGAGCTGCCAGAGTCTGTTGCTGGCATGTACTAGGAAACTATTGTCCTGGACCCAAGTACACCATCCTCTGTGTCAGTAGAGGATGCTCCAGGACCTGCTCCTGTGGAGGAATTATATTTCTTTTCCTCCTCCTACATCTGAAGTGACTAGGAAGGTGTCACCTATGTATTTGCCTCACTCACTGCCTTATGAACTGAGCTATTTAGACGGGGAGTCCAGGGGACACTTCTACAAGAGAGGGCATTTGAATTCTTGGTAGGAACATCCCTCATAGTATTCTCCATGGCCTGCAAAACCACTCCCCTATCCCATGCACATATGGCTATTTTGGGAGTGCATCTCAACAGAAGGGCTCTATCCATTGATCCTATCTCTAAACCCAGGTCTCCTTCTTCCATAGACCCCCAGGAAAGCCAAGTGATCCAGCATACAATCATACCTTCAGGACCAGGAATTTGAACAGGAAAATATGCAGGAGTCAGAGGTCCAGCCTTATTTCTCAAGTGCTTTTTGTGCTCTTCTCCTGATGAGGCTGTCCACCCAGCTGTTCTGACCCAGCCAGAAAACTAGGAACTTCTCCAGTGAATGCCACACACCTTGGACATTCTAGTGGAGAATAGTGCGTGAGAAGTCTTGCAAATGTCTAGACAGTCTGTGTTCATTGGTCCTGGTAGATTGGAAATGCCAAAGGCTTGTAGGAGCCAACCAGATACCTATGGCAAAGCTCAGTTTCAGTGATGCCCACCTCCATAGTCAAGAAGTGGGACCTTTCTTAACATTGAGTCCTGGAGCTTCAGTGGTGCCCACCTCAGAGTGACTCTTCAGTACAGATATAGGTGCTACCAGTCATCTCTAAGGAGGCTGAATACTTTTATAACCATCTAGTGCCTGGATCCTTGGTCATAACTGCTGTCCAAGAGATGTTGAAGCAGCAGGGACTACCCAAGTGAACACCCCAGGACAAAGTTCCTCTCTGTGCTGCTGCAGGAACCTAAGTCCCTGGTGTTAGAGTGGCATCTGGTTGCATAGACCTCTCATTGAAGCCTCTGACTCCACAATCATGCAGGTTGCTTGGTTGCAGTCCTCAGGGATACCAAAGGAGGTCTAAATGACCACGTTCAATTACTCTGACCTCTTAATTAAGCATAATAATGAAACCGTGCACCTGTTAAAGGACTCAAGCCATCTTAGGCTCTGGAAGCCTATATTCTGTCTTCCATGAGACACAATACAGGCCTCAGAATTATCAGAGACATAGGCAATCCCTCTAATCCTATTATGGCCAGCAAAGATCCTCCAAGGAAGAGGCAGAGGTTCCAGAGGAGGAAAACCATATATCCCGCATCAGGAGGTTTGAGGGTATGGTCAAGAGTCTGAGGTCTACCCCCACCCCGTTTTGGGAACTGTCTTGTTTTCAGAGAGCCTGGAACCAGATTTCCAGGACCAAGTGGTCCAAGGTTATAGGGATACACCATCCAGTTCCATTCATTCCCTACCATCTTTCCCTGTCCCTTTCCAGGGATCCCTCTCACAAGATATTACTAAGAAAGGAAATGAACTCCCTTCTGCAACTCAGGCCTGGTCTACACTGGGGGGGGTCGATCTAAGTTACGCAACTTCACCTACGTGAATAACATAGCTGAAGTCGACGTACTTAGACCTACTCACCGCGGTGTCTTCACTGCGGTGAGTCGACTGCTGCTGCTCCCCCCTCGACTCCGCCTGCGCCTCTTGCAGTAGCGCTCGGGGATCGATTTATCGCATCTAGACTAGATGCGATAAATCACCCCCTGCTGGATCGATCGCTGCCCATCGATCCGGCAGGTAGTGTAGACATACCGTCAGAGCACTGGAACTACCTGGGCAGTTCCAGAACAGGGAGTCTTCACTCGTTCCCTAATTTTTTACTTAGATCATAAACTCTTTGGGGGCAGGAACTGTCCCTTTGTTTTGTTTGTATAGCACCTAGCACAATGGAGTCCATGACTAGTGCTCCAGGGTGCTATGATAATACAAATACAGTCCAAAACCTATTTAGGCATTATTAGAAATTGCTATATACAATAGTGTGTCTGGATCCATCTGATCCAGGATACACTGATTGAGTCCCATTCCACCAGAGCTCAAGCAACCTCTGCTGTTTCTCTGAGTCATTCCAATACCTGAGATTTGTAGAGCACCGTCTGGAGTTTGGTTCATACCATCATCAACTTGTTTGACTTCCACAGCAAATGGCAGACAATTAAATGAGTTACAATTCCAGTTTATTTTAGAGCCAGTATTTTTACCTTTTAAGGACTTTTCTTTTTTCTGTCTGAATTTCTTTTTTTCTTTTCTGAATACACCGAAAAATCTTTATTTTTTGGTTACTGCTGCTCCTCGTCTCATATGAATTATTTCACCTAAATTCCCTTGTTCCATTCCTAAGCAGCCACCACTGTACAGAATACATTACTTCCTCTGAAACTATCAGCAGTGAAACTCCAGAGATCAGCCAGTTAACAATCTTCTGTAAGAAGTACATTTGAGATTTCCACACTTAAACTGTGTTTTGGAGTCTCATGATCGATCCTAGATCATTGTTTCCCATGTGATGGTTTGGAGAACTACCATTGTTGCGGGGGCCAACTAAAAGTCCTATTTATGTTTTTAAAGGAACGTGTTTCCCCATGTGCCTTTGATTTTCTTCTAGGTCATTTTTAAATGAATTAATGGAATGCATTGTCTGTGAAGAAATTGAAGGAATTATTAGTCTTACAGCTGCTGCGTACATAGTTGTTATAATCAAAGGTCAGTCAAACTAATTTTGTCTCCAATGAAGACTTTTGTCAGTAGTAGATTTTAGTCCAACTTAATTTTAAAATGTTACATTATTTTTCCAGTTAGCTGTGGAAATTCAGAAGTAGTAATTTTTATAGGAATGCAGAATTAAAAAGAAAAATGCAAAGTTGTAAGGAATGCCATTAGACATTGGATCTAAAACTTTGTGGGGTCTTTTAAAAAAAAAAAAAAAAATCTTTATCTGCTAGGCTAACATAGTCCTCCTCCATATCTTGTTTTATAGGAATATAATAACATTCACAAGTACAAATTTATACACTTAACTTGGGTAATGAAAATCTAAGTAAATATGTCGCCAGTTTTTAACAAACTGTTAATTTGTTATATAGATGCTACACAGGAATATGCAGTCTTGGTTTTTTTTAACATATTATTTCAAATAGGTAAGCACAAAGCTTCACTTGTTAAGGATATTGCACATGCCCTTCAAAAGAAGCTGATGACATGCAGAGAAGTTGCCATGGAAGAATCTAGCAGCATTGAAAGGTAAATCTGCTGTACAGGAAAAAACCCACTGATTGAAAAAGGGATGCAAGATTCTGTACTTGCTGGTGAAGAAGTTTATTGAAATCCATATGATACAGCAGTGGTTCTCAAACTGGGGTCGGGACCCCTGAGTGGGTCACAAGCATATTACATGGGGGGTCGCGAGCTGTCAGCCTCCACCTCAAACCCTGCTTTCCCTCCAGCATTTATAATGGTGTTAAATATATAAAAAAGTGTTTTTAATTTATAGGGGGGGTCGCCCTCAGAGGCTTGCTATGTGAAAGGGGGTCACCAGTACAAAAGTTTGAGAACCACTGATATACAGGGATTAAAATAGTGCCAAAATGTTGCAGGCTATTGAGCCCAGTTAAGGAATTTCCTAGTTCAGCTCCCCCTTTCAGATGGTAATTCTCTTTACATGTTTTGTTCTTTAAAAGGAAGCAGATTGGAGTATTGTGGGTTCTACAGTATATAGAACAAGATGTAAAAGTTAAATTTAAAGTCCAATCTCACTAAGAACTGCACAGAGAAAAGCAAGCATTCTTTGTAACTTTGCTGTTTCATAGTATTAGAGCTGAGGGGTTTTCTCTGCATTGTGTATATTAGCGAATATGAATATCTCTAGCTAAAAATATATCCACGGTCATAAACAATTATTTTAGTGCCTTACCACAGTCATTAGATTCTGCTTTTGGTGCAATTTCAGCTTTATAGGAGGTTGGCTTTAGACCAAATTAGCCTCTTCTGTTTCACAGGTTAAAATAAAAAAATGCTAATTTTACCACCACTTACATTTTAACTTTGCATATGGTCTGAAACAAAAGTTAATAGTTTCATTAACACTAAAAATACTCTTATTTACTGCATTCAGATAGAAATAAAATGTAATATATTCAAAACCTCCACCTTGCCTAATTATAATCTCTTCAGAGTTCTCGGGATAACAAATATAAGTTATAGCCATTGATGACATGCATATATTTGTAGTATGGTTCCAACAATTTTTATTAGGAATTGGTGGGCAAATTGGACAGTCCAGTTTCCTGTGATTGCAGCAGGGAGGCATTGATGCACATCTGTTTCGTGTCTTCTGTTTTTTTTTAAAGCACATTGGTTTAATGGTGGGAAAAGATGGTAAAAAAGAACCTAAGACAGCCTATGGCAGAAAATATGTAAAATGGAAATTAGGAATGCTAAAATGGAATTTGAAGAGCAAACAGCCACAACTCGTTTTTAAAAAAGATATTTTTAAGATATTCATAGAAGAGGGAATAAAGGGAACAATCAAAGAGGATAAAGTATGTTTCAGGGAAGCTAAGCTATTTCTTTGTATCAATCTTCATCCCTGAGAATGTGGAGGATGGGGAAGGACCTACTGTTTTCTGGTAAAAAGATGAAGTACTGTCAGAAAATAAGGTGTCAAAGGAGAAGGTGCTGGAATAATCTGATACATTAAAAAGTCAACCAGTTACTAAGACCTGATCATATACACCCTAAAATTCTGAAAGAACTTAAGAATGAAGTAACTGAGCTACTAACAAAGAATGCAATCATTCATTTAAATCTGCTGCTATCCCAGAGAATTGAACAGTAGCAAATGTATCTTTCTTTTAAAAACGTGCCCTGTGTTTCTGGAAATTACAGACCAGCAAGCCTTACTTTTTGTGCTGGTTGAAATGATGATGGTAATAGAATTATAAAATACCTAAATAATCATTGTTATGATAGGGACAAACCAGTATGGCTTCTGCAAAGGAAAATGGTGCCTCACTAATCTTACAGTATGCCAACAAAATAAGGAGAACTAGTTGATATAATTTACGTGGACTTTCAAAAAATGTGTGTGATAGAAGCTCAGATTCCGTAGTTAGTTCTTGTAGTTCTGGGGCAATAGGCAAAGTTCTATAATGGAAACAAAAAAAGAGTAGGAATAATGGGCATGAGTAGCAGACAGCACCTATTTGGTCTAATTAATCCTTCTCTACACACATGCACACTATGGATTATTTGAAAGCTTATTACGTCTACTTTAAAATGAGGTATGATGTGCAGTTGTTACCACAGAAATGGGGATAAACAATGTCACCATCAACACGTTAAAATGACCACTTTGAAATACTTACATTTTTTTCTGTTAGTTTAAAGACACTCTGTATTTCGAGACATAAAATTGAATTTCTTTGTGACTTCAGAGCATCACAATAACAATCTAAAGGGTAAAACAATATCTGATAAACTTGTACAGTTATTGAAATGTAATAGCACTGATGACATTTCTAGTGAACATCATTATAATGATCTCTAGCGAGAGTGCATGGGTTACCAAATATTCATTGTCTTGGCATGTGACGAGTTCTGTGCAAGGAATATTGTTCTAACTACAGACAAGTTGATTGTGCAGTGACCTCTACTGGTACAGGCACAAATAAGGTCTCGTAGAAGCTCAGGTGCCATTGGGCCCTTGAAGAATACAGAAATAGTTCATCATCCACATTTTTCTATCCATGTCGCAATGGTGATCTAATATCTGGTTTACCTATGTGTGAAAGCATCTAAACTTTTGCTTGCCAAGATGCTTTTTTGACATGCATTTTAAAACTGTCCTCACATGGTGGGAGTTTGGCCAGTGGCTCATCCTTTTTGATGGATAGATTGAGGTACAATCAATTCAGATTTCTGAGAGTCTCCTTTTCATTCTCACTCTGGTCATACAGCATTGCTACCAACTTCTTTGCTGCAGACATTGCAGCTTGTCCATTACTCTTCCCCCAATTTAGCAAGCTCTGAAGTGGTAAGCTCTTTGTGTTCACAACATTAATCACAGATATTTTTGTAATACCAAATAGGGATGACACAATCCCATCCTATTAATACATGTACAGCAGGAAGTATGTTTCAAAAGTCAGGAGTGAATGTGCCACAAATTGCATGCACAGATATGAAGCAACGCCTGTCATTTGTGCTGGTAATGGTACCTGTTTCAATCTAGATTTTGTTTGTGTTCCATTTTTGGAAAGTAGTGAACAGCAAGGACCAAAACATGTGCATCAAGTGACTAATTACTATAGTTCCTTTTTCACCAAGAGACCAAAAGCCATATTGGCACATATAGCATGCAGAAGCATCCTTGTGTCCATTTTCTCTTGTGTTACTAGACAAGTCTTGGACTTCTTCATCTCCTCTGCTGGTAATGGACTTTGCTACTTCACCATTGCAAAAGCTTCCAGCAAGAAGGAGTGTTTGTGCTGTGCTCCTCCATTCTTATGTGCATTTCGAACCATTTGTTCACAGAAGAATTTTACAAGTGACTGCTTGTTGGATGCCACATATAGAAACTTTTTTCATGGAGTCAGAGGGTTCCCACCAATCACTTGGTATTTCTTGCATCCAACCTTAGATCCTGTCTGATGCTGTCTTTTTGCAGTTTTCACAGAGTTGCTGTTGTCATATTTGTCAAAGACTATGATTACAGAATTAGCTTTGTCAAATCCTTTTAGAACCTGTCTTAAGTACTCAGCAGTCAATTCACTGAATGTGTGAATTTGGCGCTAGCCATCATTTGTATGACAGTCGTGACATCTCTGATGTACACTATGGTTTCTCTTTTGAATGGTCTTAGCTCATAGATTCTTTCAACTTGAGCTTCTAGATGATGCCCTAATTCATCTTTGTCTGTTCTTCTCATTGTTCCATCACCATGGAAGATGGACATAAGTACAGGACATATTGGGTGACTAAGACAGTTGTCACTGAAACATCATCTCTGTATCTTGCTAAGGACAGAGCTCTGTGGAAAACAATTTCTGGACTGATAACTGCTGTGATTGTCCCTCCCTTGCCAAATTTAAATTTGGTCATCTTGGCCATGTCAACAAATGTTTTGATACCAGATTTCTAGACTGGACTGATCTAGCTATGTGTTCCATCATAATCAAGTGCACCTCTCAAAAATCTCCCCATTTGTTCTTTACCAACATCTGCTGTTTTCAGTGGAGACTCTTGTACATCTGATGTTACATGCCGGCCAGTAGATATGTTGATAAGCACCTCTGGATGTGATTCAGGGTCAAATGGGTTTGTCATATTGTTGATGACATGGTTGGTAAGAGCTATAACATGCACTTCATCCCTCTTCAGTGCAGAGGCAAGGACTTGTTTGTGGACTTTGTATTCATTACTTCTTTTTAGGCCACTTCTCTCTCTCATTTTGCATATTCATAATATTAAGCTGTGTCATCTCTAACAGTAATACTGACCTGTGCATAAGTGTCACTGAATTAAAAAGCTGGTTTCTAAAATATTTCAAACACTGTATTGCATGCATAGGCAACTACAAATTAAAACGTTCTACCAGGCATACTAGATGCAACACCGTATGTACAAAAGGTTACAGATAGAGAAGCATGACATTAGGAATGCACATATATGTATATCTAGCCACTATGCAATACAAACTATGGGCATGCAATCTACTGCTACAGCTTTCAGTGTGAGACTGATCTGGTCAGCAAATTTTAATTGAAAATACATAAAACTATGGTCACTTGTGAGGTACTTTGACAAATAAAAATATGCAATGTGAAACATTTCATGTTAGTATATTGCAAAATCTTATTTGCTATTTTTGTCACATTCTAAACAGCTTCATTTTTAAAAAAGAAATATTTGCATATGCAAAACCAATACAGATCTTTTAATACATTGGCATTTGGAAGATTTGACCAATAAACACCACATTAAGATATTGAAATTGACTACAGTTTTTACTGTTTGTTAGTCATGTTGCAGTGATTCTGGAACTGTGCAAAAAATGACCCTTTCTCATTTTGGGTACCATTGTTTCATATCACCTACAGGCTTAGGGCATCACTTGACAGTACCACATCATACCTCATTTAAACATACATAAATTAAGCTTTCAAGTGATATGTGGGTGTCGTGTATAGGGTGGCTGCATTAAATTCCGAAAAATGGCCCTTTTTGAAGAACGCCACACATCTATAAATGGTCAGTTTTCATCATGCTTGAAAGGTGGTTAACACTGGGGTTCCATAAAGTTCTATATTAGCACCAATGTTAAATTTAGTAATGATCTGGAAAAGGGAATGAGCAGTGAGGTGGCAAAACTTTCAAATTACACAATTCATTTAGTCAAAACTGCAGAAAACACTGAGGAATTACAGTGAAACTAACAAAGTTAGATAAATAGGCAACACGATTATAGATGATATTAAGAATGGATACATGTAAAGTAATGCACATTCAAAGGAATAATGTGAAGAACTCATGCATTGCTGCATTGTAAATTAACTGTAACATGCAGGAAAGTGGTCTGGGTGTCTTTGGACAGCTCTATGAACACCAACTCTGCCAATGAACAACTGCAGTCAAAAAGTAAACAGAACATTAGGATGCATTACAGAATGGAAAAAATTAAATAATGACAAATAAGTGGCACATCCTCAACTAGAATACTGTTTTCAGTTATGGTAATGTTTTTTCCAAAAACAAACAAACAAGCCACAATTTAAATAAATAAGAAGCATGGGAAAACTTTCATATGAAGAGAATTAAAAGATTAGGACTATTTAGAGAGACAGATGGGGTGACATGATCTGGTACACCAAATTATATGTGGTAAGGAGACTGTCCTGTTTATGCTTTTTTTTTTTTTTTTTTTTTTTTGTAATGTACAAACATTTAATGAATTTCAAAGGCAGAGAATTTAAATGTGATAAAAAGAAATACTTTTTCACAAAACACAGTTCTACTGTGATGAGTTCCACATGCTATCATTGAGAGCTTAACAGAGTTTAAGAAAAGATTAAATATTGGTAAAGATAGTAAGAACATCCACAACCTCATTAGATAGGATTATTTTTTTTTAAAGAATTTGAAAGGATATACAAACTCGTGCTTCTGGGCATAATCCACTAACTGCAAAAGGGTTAAGAAGAAATTTCCCAATGGGCTGGTTATATTCCATAATTGCCCACTTCTATTGGCTGGTTCTTGCACCATCCTTAAAAGCTTTTGGTACTGGCTGCTATCCGAGAAAGGATGCTGGACGATAATGGACCACTAGTCTCATTGTGTACTGTAATGATTCAAATGCAATTATATTTTGATTGCAGCGTGCCTTAAGAACATAAGAATGGCCATACTGGGTCAGACCAAAGGTCCATCTAGCCCAGTATCCTGTCTACCGACAGTGACCAATGCCAGGTGCTCCAGAGGGAGTGAACCTAACAGGAAATGATCAAGTGATCTCTCTCCTGCCATCCATCTCCACCCTCTGACAAACAGAGGCTAGGGGCATCATTCCTTACCCATCCTGGCTAATAGCCATTAATGGACTTAACCTCGATGAATTTATCTAGTTCTCTTTTAAACCCTGTTACAGTCCTAGCCTTCACAACCTCCTCAAGCAAGGAGTTCCACAGGTTGACTGTACGCTGTGTGAAGAAGAACTTCCTTTTATTTGTTTTAAACCTGCTGCCCATTAATTTCATTTGGTGGCCCCTAGTTCTTATATTATGGGCACAAGTAAATAAATTTTCCTTATTCACTTTCTCCATACCACTCATGATTTTATATACCTCTGTCTTATTTTGGCAAACAGCAATTTTCTTCTAATTATTACATCTTTCTCATTCTGTTTGGCCAGAGGAAAACTTGTAGTCAAAATTGTCTGCAAATTAGTCCACAGCTCATTATATGGTCAGATAACGTACTAATTTATATATGCTAACATCAACTATAATAAATTTACTCTTCTCAAAGCTTAATTTGTTACTTTTTACATATGTTTACATTATTTTAAAATGTCAGCCCTTTGGGAATTACAGTAACTCCTCGCTTAACGTTGTTTCGAAGTTACGTCGCTGCTCCATTAGGGAACATACTCATTTAAAGTTGTGCAATGCTCCCTTATAACACCATTTGGATGACTTTACAAGGGAGCATTGCACAAGTTCCTCTTCTCCGCCTCCTCCCCTTCCCTCCCTTCCTCCCTCCCTCCCCTCCCAGTGCTTCCCCCACCACCAAACAGCTGTTTCTGGGAGGGAGGGAGGGAGCAGGGAAGCTGCCCTCCCCCCCCGGCAGGCAGGGCCATCCGGAACGCAGGGGCTTTAGGGGCTGCAGGCCCCTGGGCTAAGGGGGCCCCGGGGCCCCGGCCTGCAGCTCTAAAGCCCCTTTCGGAATGCGGCCCTGCGAGCACAGGCCGGAGGACTCAAGAGGAGCAGGTGCAGCCAGTGGCCAGAGAGAAGCGGCGCTTTCCCCTTCAAAGCCAGCTCCCAGAATCGCGGTTCCCAGAATCCCACAGAGACACCTGCACACCCCCTGCACCAAACAGGAGTTGCCCCAGGTAAGTGCTCTGCACCTCCTGCCTGCCCCAGTCCTGAGCCTCCTCCCGCACCCCCACCCTGAGCGCCCTCCGGCACCCTAATGCCCTTCCAGACTCTGCACCCCCAGCCCTGAGCCCCAGGGGTAAGCCGGGGCACCTCCCCACCACAGTACAGTACTGTACAGTATATAATGCCTTTTGTCTGCCCCCCAAAAATTTCCTTGGAACCTAACCCCCCGCATTTACATTAAATCTTATGGGAAAATTGGATTCTTTAAACATGGTTTCGCTTAAAGTTGCATTTTTCAGGAACATAACTACAATGTTAAGTGAGGAGTTACTGTAGTTTATCCCTGGTGGATGGAGCCTGGGACCTGACTAAATTTCCAAGAGATTTTGGATGCTGCCCCAGTCTTTTAAATTTGGGCATCGGGCACCAGTAAGAAATATGTAGAGGTCTTCTATATTAGAGTACCTCAGGTGCTGCCCTTAAATCAGAAATTAGTCCACTATACCAGAAGAACACGTTTTCCTAAATACTAGAATCTAGTCTTCTCTGCTCAACTGAACTAGCAGTTTCAGTTGACAGTTAAAAGCGAATATTATGGATTTTTGCATTGAACAAATCAAATAAGCTATGAAATATTATGATATAATTTATAATATATATAATCATCTTTGCTTAGTATGATTAGCATTTCAGTATCTGGGCACTGAAATTAAACCTATTTAACTTTTATGCTGAAACATTTAATGTTTTCCTCACGTTATCATATAGATGTCTTTCCAAACCCTTCATTGCTCTGTCATTGAAGTGCTAATTAAAGAGAACTTGCAAATAGTTTCTCACTATTTGTGTAGGATTTCTGCAGCATACTCAAAATAGTAAAGGTAAAGAGCATTTAATACAATTGACTTTAAATTTACCTTGTTTTTTCCTCTTTTGGGTGCCTTACAGTCATTCTGAGTTCTATTATAGTTGGACGTCCATTAGCTTAGGGCATGATGAGTCTCTCAGTGAAGGGACATCTCCGTTTAATGATCTAAAGCCAAACAAAATATTAAATAAAATTCCTGAATTGTTCCTTGTATGTTTGCTCTTCGGGCACCTGGAACAATACTTAAGTTAGTGACTAGCATTGCTAATATAGGGCATCCTTAGAATCTTACAAATAACTAACATTGCAAATATTGGAGAAATGATGCATGGAAAATAAAGCTGACAGTTTGTCACAATATGAATTCAAGCATCAAGAAATCAAATCTACGAAGATAAATGTTGCATTAGTGTTTGGCGATAAGCCATGCCCTGACTATGGTCTTCTGAGGACAGTTTAAGGCTGGGTGAGTGTGAGAAGTTCTGTGGGAGAGTGCAACTGCAGAGGTAATGTTGGATGAGGAATGCAAGAAAATGGAGAGTGATAGATTAAAAGCTTGGGGATAGCAGTTATCTCTTTTGAGATGGTATAAGGATTCCAGTGTGTGCAGGGGTGGGAATGTTGCTGAGGATAGTACATCTGAAGTGACAGATGGGTGGCTGTTAGTACCAAGGATAAAGATGCAGGAAGATCAGCACTAGGGAAAACAAATACCAGAGAAAGAGGAGAATGCAGAAATTATGTGGATTGGCAGGGAATGGGGAAAATGAGTGACCAGAAGAGGAGGTGGTAGGGGAGTGGAGAGCAGAGAAGAAAAAGGGAAATGAGGAAGGGGCAAGACTGGACTTCAGAGGATTAATGCTGTGTATGTGATAGTAAGATGGCAGAGGTAGAAAAGGGCAGTAAATCAAATATTCAGAGAAGCAAATGAACAGTGATTTAAGTATGTAGAAGGTCAAATATTAAGAAACAGTACCAATACAGTATTTTAAAAATATTTAAATAGACACTCTAATTGTTCTTCCTGATACCTTTTTGAAAGTAGAGAACAAATTCGATCATATTTAAAGCTGGTAAAAATGGAGGAAAATTCGGGCTTTTATTCAAATTTAAAACTTTTTTGTCAATTTTAAAATTAAAGATTTGATCCTCCGTAGCTATACTGTAATCCAGGGATCGGCAACCTTTCAGAAGTGGTGTGCCGAGTCTTCATTTATTCACTCTAATTTAAGGTTTCGCATGCCAATAATACATTTTAACATATAGAAAGAGACCTTCTAAAAAAGTCCTATAATATATAACTAAACTATTGTTGAATGTAAAGTAAATAAGGTTTTAAAAATGTTTAAGAAGCTTCATTTAATATTAAATTAAAATGCAGAGGCCCCCAGACCGGTGGCCAGGATCCGGGCAGTGTGTGTGCCACTAAAAATCAACTCGCGTGCTGCCTTCGGCACGCGTGCCATAAGTTGCCTACCCCTGCTGTAATCTATAATCATTCGAAGAGATGAATGGAAATGCTGAGCAAGATTATTCCTCTTAAATGTAATCCAATAAAACAACTTCTTTAATTCCTTAAACTAGTGGTGTGTAACTTCTCAAAGAAATAAGGGAGTAGCTATTTATTGAAAAGCAAATAGGCAAAGGTGTTCCTTTTGCACGTCTTATTCAGCTGCTCACTGATTTCTCTGGTTTCAGAACCCTATATGAATCATCTGTGAAAATTTTGGAGGACATCTTGAATCCTTGACTGTACCGCTGCCTTCAAGTCATGAAAAGTAGAAAGAAGGAAGATGTATTGTTTTTTTATAAAGCCAAGCAATATGTTACCTTGAAAAACATATTTAATATAATAGTGAATTGTTGGAATGATTGTATTATGCTAGCTTATACTTTGTACGTACGTACATACATTGAAAGTCTTAGCAAGAAAATGAATAACTTTTAAAAACAAATCAGTTTTATATTCCTTTCATATTTAAAACAATTGTGCAGAAACTTTTTTAAAGTATGCAGAAATATTTTGTATATACATAAATAATGTATTATTAAAGATTTTGGAACGGCTATGAGGAGGGGCTTGTAGGTATATTCCAAGTATTTCATATGAAATAAAATCAGTACCTTTTTATATATTTTTAAAAAGAGAATTAATAAAATGACTGAACTATCCCTTTGAATGGCATTTTCTTGAACCCTTTGACATTGAATGTCATGCGTTTCCCTAAAAGGTAAGGCATGAGCACTTAGGGAAAATAACAGGTGCTTCTGAATAGCAAAAAACATTCTACATGGCATACTTACTGGGCCAAATGGAAATGTTTTTTTTATCTGGCCTCAGCAGACAAGTGTCTCTCCGGTGCAGGCTTCCATCAGTGTTTTGGATTATATGTAGCACGTAAAACATCAGTGCCTGACAGTTCATTTAAAGTATTTATGACAGTCATTTCAGCGTTCCACCCACCAGTAGGTAATCGTAGCTATTAGTTGCAGTTTCAGAAGTGAAAGGCAAACCAATTTCCACTCAAAAGATTTCTTCTTGGATTTCTTGTGCTACCAGTTAGCTAACGTCATGCCATCTCCTAGAGTATTGGCTCATTTGACTAGAGCGCGAACAGCTTCAGCAACCTTCCTAGCACAAGTACCTATTTGAGACATACACCTCTACCCCGATATAACGCTGTCCTCGGGAGCCAAAAAATCTTACCACGTTATAGGTGAAACCGTGTTATATCAAACTTGCTTTGATCTGCCGGAGTGCGCAGCCCCACCCCACCCCGGAGCACTGCTTTACCATGTTATATCCGAATTTGTTATATCGGGTCGCGTTATATCGGGGTAGAGGTGTATTCAAAACAGCAACCTGGTCATTAGTTCAACATTTTTGATGCTCATTATGCCATTTCCCGTCTGTCCAGAAATTATGCCAGTTTTTGACAGGCTGTTCTATAAATCGCTGTTCAGGTAGACTCCAAACCTGCCTTTACTTTAATCTGCTTGTGAGTCACCTACAGTGGAATGGACATATGCAACCACTTGCAGAAAACGGTTACCTAGCTTTCCACAACTGTTGTTCTTAAAGATATGTTGTACATGTCCATGCCATGACCCAACCTTCTTCCCCTTTCTTTTGGAGTCTATCCGGTAAGAAGGAACTGAGTGGGGGGGCAGCTCCACACTTGTACACCAGTGTGCAGTGGCACAGAGTGACAAGGCACTCAAGATGCCCTGAAGGATACCACTAAGGGAAAAAGTTCTCTAACAACTAACTGTACAAGGTATGCACATACCTACATTCGAATGGAAAGGTAGGTAACTATTTTTTCCTTACACAAATTTGCTAACAGTACTCAGTCCATTCCTAAGCACAATTGTCAGAGAACAATTGTGTAATATTATGTCATCTATGTTCACAAAACAAATTGTTTTAGTGTCTCTGCTAGCTTTTTTGGTTGCAATTATGTCTGCAAGAAGAGTTTCCAAAACCTCTGCTTTTGGGAGGCATGAGTTTTGATGTGTCTTCTTCCCACAGAGACAAGATCATTCTTCACAGTCAAACATTCTTGGACAGAAACACTTACTTCCATGCATCACAGCAAATTGTTCCTGTTTTACCCAAAGCCACAACACCTGAAAAGTTTGGGGCTCATACTGATTGTAAGAAGAACTGTTTTACTTATTAAACCTAAAGAGTTCAGGAAAACCTCATTTTTATTCACTTGCTTTCAGCCTAAGTATCTGTGCCTAAAAGCATGCAAATCCTCCTTAATCAAGTGGGTCAAACTTTTCATCAGCAAAGCCTACACAAATGTGGATAAATGAAAAGTGATCAGAGCCCCCCTCAGCACTGTCTACAGCAGCATCCTGGGTAGAAAGTGCATTGGCCACCATAGGAAAATCTGTAAAGCTGCCAACTATCAACTCATTAATAAAATACTACATTTCTTGACGTTCATTTCTCTGCTTAAGCTTCTGAGCAAGCAGGTGTTCCAAATGATGACCCCCAAATACTCGTCATACAAATATTTAATGAATACAAAAATCAGAGAGAGTGAATTGTCCTCCTATTACTAGAGGTGATCCTTTTTCATTAGGGCTATGTAAAGTTGGCCTTGGCATGAATCAGAGAGCATGTGAGCTCTCAAATCCTTAAGGATACATGGAGGTGTATGTCTAAGCGGCTTTCTTTGTGTGATGTTCTTTACTTTTGGCTTCTGACATCTTATGGACTTCAGCACTGTACAAATGAGGTAGAGGGGTTGAGAGTGTGATCCCACCTGGGGATATGGAGGTGATATGTGGTGGGGCCGAGGGGTTCGGTGTGTGGGAGGGGGCTCGGCTGGAGCAGAGGGTTGGGGTGCAGAGAAGTGAGGGCTCTGGCTGGGGTTGCAGGCTCTGGGGTGGGGCCGGGGATGAGGGGTTTGGGGTGTGGGAGGGGGCTCGGGAGGGGCAGGAGGTTGGGCTGCAGGGGTGAGGGCTCTAGGGGCGGGCCGAGGATGAGGGGCTCAAAGTGTGGGAGGGGGCTCAGGGATGGGGCAGAACGTTGGGGGTGAGGGCTCCAGCTGATTTAGTTGGGGTTGGTCCTGCTTTGAGCCAGGGGGTTGGATTAAATGGCCTCCTGAGGTCTCTTCCAACCCTAATCTTCTATGGGGGTACAGGCTCTGGGGTGGGGCCAGGGATGAGGAGTTTGGGGTGCAGGCCTCCCTGGGGTCAGAGGACTCCCCCCAGCCCTCTCCCTGCCATCAGCAGCTCTGGGGATGGGGTTAGGGCTCCTCCTCCCCCCCCCGGCTCTCTGCATGCCCCAACTTCCCTCCCTGCCCACTTCCTACCTTTCTCCTCTCCCGGCCCCTGTGACTGAGCACCTACACTGCTCTTTATAGCCGCGCAGCTTAGAGGGAACTTAGGTCAGATCTAGGTTACCTGACATGATGTAAGTCTGGGTCCAAGGCAAGAGCAGGGTTGGGAACAAGCAGGCACAGGAATTATCACTGCCACAAGTGAATGCTTTGAGCAGCCGTACCACTGCTACTGTGCATAAGAGCCAGTCTGCTTCCTCCTCCAACCAATGAAGTGATGTAACCAATCAGGCAGCATACTTCAGACCAGCTGCCCTCTTTAGAGTGCACAGAGACTGGTTCTGCTGCAGAATCTGATCCTTGACAATCCCCCACTTCCAGGGTGCCTCCAAGTACTTCTAAGGGAACTCTCACAATAGGGCCGGGGTGTGGATATTCTCTACCAGTTCCCAAAACCACTCATCTGAAGCGTAGCATTCCTAGTCTCACCTAACTTGCTGATAGTTGAGGATGTGGTAGACCAAGTACTCGTCCTGTCCGTGACCTGTTATGAGTGGCAGTAGTGAGTTGGAGAAAATCAAACCAGTTGTTCGTAGCGGTAGCAGAGTGGATGAAAGGCCTCCTGGTCTCATCTCAAAGAATATCCTCCTGGATCACATCATGCATCCACATGTGCTATGAGCTGGCCAAAGTACCAGCCCCAGCTCTTACGGCACACTCCACTAGGGCCCGGGCCTCGTCAGCAACGTTCTAGCCCAGGTCTCGATCCAAGAAATCTGCAGGGCAGCAACTTGGTCCTCGGTGCATACCTTCACCTCTCACTACGCCATCGTAAGGCACGCCAGAGATGACGCAGCTTTCAGCAGAGCGGTGCCGCAATCAGCGTTTCCTTAACTCCGACACCCAAGGCCTAGGTAAGGCTTGGGAGTCACCTAATTGGAATTGATATGAGCAATCACTCGAAGAAGAAAAGCCAGTGACACACCTCTGGTAACTATTGTTCTTCGAGATGTGTTGCTCATATCCATTTCAGACCCGCCTTCCCCTATGTCGGAGTAGCTGGCAAGAAAGAACTGAAGAGGCGCCGGGTCAGCAGGGTCATATATTGAGCGCCATGACGGCACCAATCCAGGGGGCTCCACAGCCGACCTGACAGGTGCTGCTAGGGGAAAAACGTTCCAACGGCTGTGCGGACACCTAATTGGAATGGATATGAGCAACACAACTCGAAGAACAACAGTTATGAGAGGTGAGTAACCATTTTTTCCTCTGGCTATATGAGGTGGTGGCACCATGACCCCTCCACAGTTCCATCTTACTGCCCATGCCTGAAGTTAGAACTTTGTGTGGTTATCTCATGTTCTCTATCTCAGTTGTCTAAAGTTTTTTTTCTCTACACATATATAGTTTTAAATAGTTTATAGTATCCTAGATAGTAGTGTTAGATTCGCCGGGAGATGGAGATCTAAGCCCTGAGGTAAGTGGGGAAGTGGGATACCGGGAGGAAGCACAAGGAGGAGGGTGCAACAGGGGAGTCCTCCTTATTCATACTGAAAACTAACCGATTGCCCTACTTTATCTTAGGTGCCTGTACACGAACGCAAGAAGCCTGAGAAACAAGCAGGAAAAATTGGAAGTTCTGGCACAGTCAATAAACTATGATGTGATTGGAATAACAGAGACATGGTGGGGTAACTCACATGACTGGAGCACTGTCATGGATGGGTATAAACTGTTCAGGAAGGATAGGCGGGGAGAAAAGGTGGAGTTGCACTATATAAGAGAGCAGTATGATTGCTCAGAGCTCCAGTATGAAACTGGAGAAAAGCCTGTTGAGAGTCTGTGTTAAGTTTAGAGACGAGAGCAACAAGGGTGGTGTCATGTGGCCATCTGCTATAAACCATCAGATCAGGAGGATGAGGTAGAAAAGGTTTTATTCGGACAACTAACAGAAGTTTCCAGATCACAGGCCCCAGTTCTTGTGGGGGACTTGAATCACCTTGACATCTGCTGGGAGAGCAATACAGCAGTGCACAGACAATCCAAGAAGTTTTTGGAGAGTGTTGGGGACAACTTTCTGGTGCAAACGCTGGAGGAACCAACTAGGGG